CAGACAGACACACAGACAGACAGACGCACAGACAGACAGACAGACAGACAGACAGACAGACAGACAGACAGACAGACAGACAGACACACAGACAGACAAACACACGGACGGACAGACACACAGGCAGACAGACAGACAGACTCAGACCGATAGACTTTTCAGCTATGGTGCTCTGCCTTGATGCCGTCCAAACGCCCGGCGACAACACTGCTCTGTTTAAGGATAAAACTTGCAGAGCCTGCAACGCCTCCACAGAGGAGACAGCAGCCAGACAAGAACAACAAGCTCATGGCTACACACCGGCATGCAAGGAAATTATCTGAACGAACAATCTGACAGAGCGATGCACACGAACAAAATCTGCTGCAACCAATTTACAAATACAAACATGTTCTGAGTGGGCCGCCTGCTCCATCAGCAGGCGACAGCGGAGGTTGCTGGTGCTACAGAAGTCGGGACGTGTTGCAATGAGTGTATGGGAAAGGGTTTGAGTGAGCACAAAGTAGTTTGATAAGGATAGTGAGAATATAAAGGACGTGTCTCAGTGAGAACGACAAGTTTGGACGCATGTTGGTAAGGATACAAATAGGAATGTCTGAAAACAGCAGAGTTAATCGTGATTGAAACGATGAAACCGGAGCTGGAAAACTGCGGCACGACAGAACATGTGCTTCTAATTAATAAGGTTTGGACGTGGTTTGATAAGGATAGAATGTAGAGGATGTATTTGTGCGAGGACGAACTGTTCGGACGCATTTTCTAGATGATCGTGCTTGCAACGATGAAACCGGAGCTGGAAAATTGCGACACTACACAACATGTGAATTGAATCCAATGACACAGTTGCTGCCCCCATGCTTCTTGATCTCACAGGCAAAACAGCTCCTGCTTGCCAAAAGCGAAAGCAAACACGGAGACAGACACAGAGACACGCAGGAGACACACATCGACACCTGCATTCAGAGAGAGAGCACGTTTCAGCTATGGCCTGCTCCATCAACACGCGACAGCGGAGGTTGCTGGTGCTACAGAAGTCGGGACGTGTTGCAAGGAGTGTACAGGAAGGGGTTTGAGTGAGCACAAAAGCTTTGGACGAGGTTTGATAAGGATAGTGAGAATATAAAGGACGTGTCTCAGTGAGAACGAAAGGTTTGGACGTATGTTGGCAAGGACAAAAATAGGAATATCTGAAAGTAGCAGAATAATCGTGCTTGCAACGATGAAACCGGAGCCGGAAAACTGCGGCACGACATAGCATGTGCTTCTAATCCAATACGGTTTGGACGCATTTTGATAAGGATAGACTATAGAAACAACATGTTTGAGTGAGAACGCTACCAAGATCCACAACATGTGGTTCTAATCCAATAAGGTTTGGACGCATTTTGGTAAGGATAGAATGTAGGGGACGTGTTCGAGTGAGAACGCTACCAAGATCCGACACGCTTCCTGTTGAAAGTGTCTCGCGTGCCTGTCTCGCGGCACTGGAATTTCGGCACTCATATCCTGATGCGCTTCCTCTTGCAAGCCTCTTGCGTGCTTTTGGAGTGGCCCTGAATCGGTCTTCAAAGCCTCTTTTTTGGAACATGCTCCCGGTACTAAAATTTCGGAAGTTTTATTACCGCGAGCATGTCCCAAAAAAAATTCGGAAATTTTATGACCGCGAGCATGCCTACCGAAAATTTCGGAAATTTTATTACCGGGAGCGTGTCCCCCTCGAGCTACCAAAATTTCCGAAATTTTAATACCGCGAGAGGTTTTCTAAAGCTACCAGAATTTCGGAAATTGTAGCAGCGGGAAAAAATTGCTCCCGGTACTGAAATTTCCGAAATTTTAGTACCGCGAGACAGGCACACAAGAGGCTTTCAAAGGAAACGCGCCAAAGGGCGAGGTTCCAGGGGCCAGGGGCGCGCACAAAAAAACGGAGGCGACCAGCACGACACTGTTTCATTAGAGAATATATATATATATATAGATAGAAATATAAAATGTTTCCGCTGATTATCTCCAATTCCGAATCCATAAATCAATTCATTGTTGTCGCAATATTATCGAAATCCAATATATTAAATATATCTACCGACTCAAAAATGCCAAACCCCGAACCCGACAGTTCTCGGAAAATGATTCGTTTTAACTTTTCTTAGGTTTCGAGCAAGCAATAAGGAAATAAAGAGATCGAATAAATTCAATGAATTCTGTCGTTCATCTCTATCTTCATACTTTCAGAAGATATCAATGTCAATATCGAGTTCTGTAGTTTTCTTGTCATGCCGCTCCTCTCCATAGATCTTCGAAGTGTAGATATTCCCTTCAGGAAACGTAGCAAATCCTGGGTCTCAGGAAGCCGGAGCAGTCTGCTTGCTTATTCTGATGTATTGCCTTAGGATTTATAAATGAAATACTCTTCATGGTCTCTAATCATGGCTTCCCTCGAGTCAGTTCAAAACCGTCTGCATGACACGGACGCAGCAGATTCCACTTTGCGATGCAGACAGCAGCTGGCTTTCGCCAAGTGCAGGAGCAAAGTGTACTGTGGCGTCATATAGATTAGCAAGATCATTGAAATGGTGGTAACAGTCATGAAGCCGTGTGCATGCCAGCACACTACTTTGGAACTCGCAAACGCCCGTGTTTACTGGAACTTGACCTGCTGAACCGATCTTAGAATTCACTGAAGCGACTCAGGGGCAAGTCGTGTCTACAAGAGTCTCTGCAAGGTGGACCTCCCGTCTCCGCACCAAACACACAAAGACTCAATGACACAAGACCAAACTTTATGCTTGCTTGCAGAGACCCTCGTGGTGCAGCAGCAATAAAGAGTCACATTTGTGAGACGCAATCATCCAATCCTGGAAGAAAGGCCCCTTCCCAACCACACAGCGGATGTGCTTGTCTGCTTCTGTCTTTCGTGTGTGCCGGTCACTACATCAATCCTGCTACATTGGGCCTAAATGTTCGGATAGTGCAGGCAGACTATTTCGAGATCTGCATCAGGCTTCCGCATCTGGTGGACCACGTCCTCTGGTGGGTTGGACCTCATCTGCCAGACCCTGAAAGACGCTGAACTTGCAGAATGGGCTCTCTTGCTCGCTCCGAAAACAACGCTCTCCGCAACAGCTTCCATCAGCCCGGCTGAGAACCCGGCACAGTGTTGACAGACAGTATCCTGTCGTGCTCTCGGATTGAGGCATCAGGGTGTGCCTCGCGAGTGGGACCGTCTATGAGCCGCTTCCGCCGAGCTGCAGTTGCCAACTCCAGAATCCTATTGCAGCGCCCTGTGCCTTGTTCCAGTCACGAACCAGCCCTTCGGCAATGGTGTCGATCCACGGCTTGAGCGAATAGTTTGGCATGTAGTTCGCGATAATTCCCAGCTTCCTCAGCGCAAGCCCCCCCTCAACCTTAAGGTGCACAGGGCTGCACCGCAAGACACTTCAAACCTCTCGCGAGCCAGACAGCCCACAAAAACTGAATTAACCAAAGGAGCTTTCTAGCACACCCTCGCTCGACCCCCTCCTATCTTGAAGTTCGGAATTGCCATTTCTCATCTGAAGCGCCCTGGCCGCTTCAGTGTAAGTGTACGTGTCTGCGGCCGCTGAAGCAGCAAAGCGACCTCGAAAGCACTTTGGCAAAACCGGCATTCGGCGAGCTTACGGCTCGTCTACGCGTCTGCGGTCTGAAGCAGAAGAAGCGAGCAGTAAAGCGAGCGGAGCCTGGTCGTCTGGGGTGTTCTCGAGAGATTTCGCCTGGGGCTGTGCAGCCATCGGTGTGGAAGCTCTTAACGCCTACTGTATCCGACCTCTTCACTCCAACAACGGGCCAAAACTGGGGAGCTGACCAACTCTTTCCCAGAAGCTCGCTGGCCATTGACTTCAACGATCCGATCGTAGACGCTGATCTGCACGTTCGTGGCGTTGTTCCTCGGAGGATCACAAGCACTCGTTCTGGTGATGTCGTAGTTCTTTCGCTTTGGCTCCTCTGGAAGGTAATCCTTCGAAGCAGTCTTAGGTCTCTCTTCCATTCGTTTTGCACGGCGAATGTTCATGAGCTGTGCTTGTCGTAAGACAGACCTCCGTGGCTCGACCTCTGACGACGAAGAGCAAAAATTTAGACCCCGGTCGCATGAGTTCAAACGTAGAACACCAGGCGAGTCCGAGGAACTTGTTCCATTCCGTCACAGCGTTCGTCATCCTCTTGATCATCAAATGGTCCTAAGACCAAACAGCTGTCAAATGAAGGCAGGCGATGTTAAGCCATCTGCCAACTGCTGTCAACTGTGCCGCGACCCTGAAAAATAAACGCTGAGTTTGTCAAACTGTACAGTCAACCTCACCGTGGTCGCCATTAGCAATCTCTTCTACTCTGAGCGTCCACATCCGACTTCTCCAGCGCCAAATCCCACTTTCGATCCGCTCCACGTGCAAGCTGGACTGTGTAGAGGCCAGACTCGGCCTTGGCTGCTTCGAAGCACGGGAAAAAGCCAAGCAACAGCAGCTTCTGCAACTCGGAACTAACACACTATTCCAATTATCAAGAGTTTGGAACAGGTCTGCCAAGATGCCGTCATTGACTCCGCCAGGGCAGGAGACGACTTTATCAGCCCCTGCGGAGTGCGCTCGCTGCCATCCTCGGCAGCCAGAGTCGGGCAGCACTCAACCAGGTGGAAGGCACTGCAGGTCCTAAACCCCTAAACCCCAGAAAGATGAAGCCTCAAGACATGTTGCTCCGCGTGCAGAGTCCGCATCACTGCCGAGGTGCCACTGGCACGGCATCGAAGCCCTCGCGTTCTTCGGTGCAGCAGCAGAAGAACATCGGGCAGCCCACTACCTCAGCTCCGCAGCCAACTCAATACACACCGCGCCTGCAGTCAGCGACAGAACCCCCGGTACTTCCGCCCCACCCAAGGAGACTTGTAGCCAAGCGGCGCTTGTTGCGACAGGTGGCAGACTCGGCTTTGAGCCGAAAGTCTCCGGAGATGCAGAAGGGACACTTCTCCCCACCCTCTGCACTCTGCATGACAGGTGCTCCTAAAAAACACATGTGGTGACTTTGATTCAAACTGCCGCCCCACACGATGCATACTTTTGTCTTGCACTCTGACGGCTCATCGTCTGCGCTCCCTGGCCCTGGTGCCAACTCCAAGGCCTGCGGCGGGGGTTTGGGGAAGGCTGGGGAAAGGGGCGCCTAAACGCAGAGACATCAAGAGCTCACTGAAAGAGCTGCAGTATGCAAAAATGCTTAGATGCCTCATTTCTCCGCTCCTTGTGAGAAAACTCGGCTCTTGCGATGCCACATGTCATCTGTCTTGGACAAGAGAAGGGAAAAGTCTGACTGCCAAGTCTCTGGCACGGATCTTGGAATCTTACCACCGCATTCAAAGTCGCAGCAGATCACATCACCAACTGAGGCACGGAAGCTGAGTGCCTGAGAAGGGTTCTGCGTAGCCCCGCAGAGATGGCACCCCAGCGCGGGACAGTTTGGATCTGCTTGAAGCCTTCTCCAGGTCCTGCCGTTTCGTCTGCCGTATAGACCGCATCTTCAGGACCGCCGGGTCGACAGGGCGTCCTTTTTCTGTAGCCACAGCTCATCAACTTCGGTGTCGATTTCGGCCCTGTGCAGCTCTCCGAACTTTGTCGTTCCGCTGCCAGCAACGATGCTCCCATGCCGGTGCGTTGCAAGTTGGATCTTGTCGGCCAGGTCGATCTAGCTGAAAGAATGCAAGAAACGACCCCGTGTGTTGGCGGCCTCCTCCAAGGTCACAACAGACGCTGTTGAAACACTAGGTCACTTGAGCTGCTGACGTGCCCATAGGAGAATCTGTCTAAACTTGCAGCACTTTTGGTGTACAGTGTACAGTATTTTTATGAATTAGTACACCGCGTCGCTGTCATGACAAGTCCTTCTCGGGCTTGAAGATGAACTGGGCACCCCAGCGCCTGCCATTCACCACTTCACCCTGTGCTCTTTTGACACCTGCGCCGCTTGCTGCTCAGGCACTCCGGGCCCTGCGTCAATTTCGGGTTTAGCCGGAAGAGCAGATCCACGCTCTCGTCAGTTTCCTGCCAGGCCACGTGGCAATGAACAGTTCCTTCCCAAGCGTGTCCCCCGCGCCCGGCGCCTTTGCACAAAGGGCACCACCTGGGCCCAGCTGCAGCTTGCCAGTGAAGGGCTCGAAAATCGGTGACAAACGTGACCGGACCTGAGCTCATCTTAACTCACTCAAGACTCAGCTTGGAATCGATCTGGCCAGAACTGGCACCAAGCCACCGCATGAAAGCACAGCCATCCTTCCTGCAGACACCACGTGCTCAGGAGACCCTCGCGCTCCGCTGCGTAGGCGCCTGCAGGATACCTCGCAGGAACTCGGAGCGCGGGCGTGAGGAGCTCGTACCTGGAGGCCCAAGCAAAAGCTAGAAAAGCCAGCAGCTTCGCTGTAGGAGTCGCGCCGGCGCCTTCCAGCCACAAGTAGCGAGGTTGGAGCTCCAGGAGCTTCTGGAGTCCTCGAAGGAGAAGGACGGAGACACTGAGACCAAGGCTTCGTGAGGTTGCTCTTGCTAGCGAGATGCGATCTGGATGGCAGCGCCTACCAACCTACCACGAGATATTTCAGGATTTCAGCTCAATCGCGACGCAGCAGCGATGCCTGCATGATGATGTCTGCAGGATGCTCCGCTCTCTCGGTGGATGCAGCTTCCGCTTCTTCACATCGGTGCCTGCAAAGCTTCCGGGATCTGAGAAGGTCGAATTCAAAAGGCTCTGAGCTGCCGCAGATCAAAGCATGAGACTTCGCGACCATAGCCCTCCGTTTGGCAAGTCTCCGCCTTCCACAGAAACCGGCCGCTGATTTGTGAAGTCGGTGGAGATTGGAAAAGTCGGTCTCCTCAGCATTTGAGGATCTTGCCAAGCCAAACCTGGAGCAACCCCAAGCCTTGGGATGCAACATATGTATGCATACAGACGTACACACTCATCAATCTGTGCACAGGTTCTATTAGGTTCTGTGCATCATGTGTGTACAAAAATATACCTGCGTCGCTTTACATACGTATGTGTTTCATTGTATGTATGTCTGTCTGTGCATAGTAACTATTGACGCATATAAATTGACTCGTGCACATATATATACACACACATACGCTTAGATTTCTGCTCCCTTGCAACCACAAGTCCGGATCCACGAATGCGACGTCTCCACACCGTTCGTCCGCATGAGTCACCAATTGCCTCGGCAGCAGCCAACATCTCTATCGGTAGAGGCTCTAGTCTTTCCTCGACCCTGGCTGAGGCAAGAATCCATCAATGTCCCAGTCCCGACAATAAACCCGAGCCGTCTGCTAAGATTTACCAACTTAGGCATTGACGGGAGCTTCAACGCGGTCCTTCGCGGCATTTGCCACTCAACGGCAAGCATCCGCGCCTCCCCGTGCACAACTGCAGTCTTACAGTGGAGTGCATCCTCCCGACCGGAACGGAAAGACGGCTTCAACATGATACGGTTCGATCAGAAGGGGACAATGTTTTTGCATGATCACCATGCTGCTGATATCGGCTGCGCTCCGAAACCAGACGTCACCTGACCGCACCTGTTGATGTATACCAGTTAAGATTATCGAAGCATGATGTCCAGCCGTCTGGCATTCTACGATCCTGCCCAAGCCTGGCAGCAGCCGCGAAGGTCGACCCAGCCTGAAGGCCGGCGAGAATTCTGCCGTTTCGCCGAGTCTGCTCTTTGCTGAAAGCCTCCGAGTGCTCGAAAGAGTCCGGGAGAGACGCCCCCAGCAGCCACCAAGAGCCAGGGACCTTAGAAGTTGCATTTTGCCACAAGGCGGCTAGGGCTCATGTCTGGCGCCCCGACGTTGCTCCCGCCGCCTGCTCAAGTCCAGGAGCCATCGGAAGGCTGCCTTGGAAGACGGGCCGCTAAGACTTGCTAAGACTGCTCTCTGCGATGTTCTGCGATGCTGCGCCGCGGCCGAGGGACCAGGAGCTCAGACGTCGCTGCGGTCGCGTTCTCCTCGGCCTGCACAGCTCCCTGGGGAATCTGCGAGGCCGCCGCCTTGGCCTTGGTTCAGAGGGCCCCTTCAATGCAAACACCTTCGAGTGCTTTTCTTGGCAGGCCTTCTGCATTCGATCGCGCAGCTTGGAAGCCACGTCGGCAAAGAAGAGCATCCAGAAATGGCTGTCGTGCCACTCGAAGACCTTCAGACGGCTAATCCTTTGACTCCCTGCTGGCTGTTGGCGACCCTGGCGCTGGCCTTGCTGGCAGAGAGGCCACTCCAAAGTGTCTCCTGGCTTTTCTTGTATGCTTCTACTTCTACGGGAGGAGTGTACCGGGAACTGCCTGAGCAGTTGCTACAGCCAAAGCACTCGTCGCAGGTGTGTCGAGCAGTGTAAGGCGAGAGATACAAGAACATGCTGTGACTCCCGCGACCTCATCCAATCCTTTGGCTGCTACCATCGACTTTGCCATTTCGACGTCCGCCGGAAAGCCCTTTGCACCTAACACACACACACACACTCTCTCTCTCTCTCTCTCTCTCTCTCTCTTGAGAAACGACGCAGCAGAGTGTTTCGTGAATGCCTGCGAAGCACTGATAAATGGATAACCTAAGATAGAACCTGGCCTGGCGGGCTGCCCAGTGCGATGTTTTGAAAGTACCGCCAACGATCGGCCTTGGAAGGTCTCCTTTGCTATGAACCCTTCTCCTCACTGGCCAACGTCGCCCCCAAGCACATGACTTTGTCGACAACCGAGCCTCGGTGATCTCGTGCCGAAGAATCTCTGCCAGCCTGCGCTCGACGGATGCCCGTTTTCGACACATTTTCCAGGGTGAGCATGTCCTTCCTTGTGGCTGCCACTTGCAAAATGTTCGATGCTTCGGGATGTTCGATGGTCTACACTGTCTGCACTCACATACTATTGCCTCGGTATGCTGCTCGTGGGCAAGAAGACGGCCATCTCCCTCCAGGGAAGCAGCCTGCAAAAAGCTGGCACGAGATGTCACCTGCAACCTGTCGCAGGTTTGCGTTCTTAAGCTGCACGGATCTGCCTATCCTTCTTGCCAACATCTGTATTTTGCCTGTCCAAAGGGGCTTGGAAATCGTCGGACACGACCACTGGCACACATCCATGCGCCATGACATCCTGACGATCGATTGTGGAAAGATCCGTCTATTCGCGTGCAAAGCTCGCCCCTTTCTCGTTGTTATAGCTCTCGCTGTCTTGAAGCATGTGCTCCTTTTCGCCTCTGCCTCTCTACACATCTCTCAGTGTGTTATCGTTTCGTCTGCTTGCTTATCCGTTCACTGAGCCGTGCCTCCGTCCGTGTGTGTGTGTGTGTGTGTGTGTGGGTGGGTAGGTGGGTGGGTAGGTGGGTGGGTGGGTGGGTGGGTGGGTGGGTGGGTACGTTGCTTGCTTGCTTGCTTGCTTGCTTGCTTGCTGGCCAGCTTGATGCGTTGTGATTACTTGTCTGTTTCTGCTCCTCTTCGTTTTCCTCTTTGATGTGCGAGCGCAAACATCCTTCGAATAACCAGCACCTCAAGATTACCATGCAAAAGGATTCTGCCGAAGCCCACGAACCGATATTCCAGCAAAGCGTCGTACAGGCGAACATTGTTCGTGTGAGAGGATCCTTGCCGCAGACCAGCGCGACCAAACAAAAATCAACTGCCCACTCGGCTTCATATTCAAAGCCTTCGGACAGTTGGCAGCGAGCAGAGTAGTTTAGCTCTTGGCTCGTTTAGACAAACACAAGTCAAGCAGTTGGCTGCAAGAGGCTGCTGTATGCCCCAGCGCCACCCACCCCCAGTCCTCGAAGGACGAAGCAGAATCGAGCTCGCCACATGCGCTCGCGATAGTCGCCGTCGTCCTTGGCGAAACTTGTGGAAACATCCTCGGCAGCACAGGTGGGTAGCATCACCAGTATCTCTTCTTGGTGACAACTACATCCAGACAGGACAGCAAAGATCCGTCAGTCAAAGCCGGGGTTCGAATCCAGGCTCCGCCGAAAGTGCCGCCAGCACCCTGCAAATCGGGCTGCCAGGAGGCAGCTGATTCACATCTCTGACTCTTTGTCTAAATCCCAGTAGGTGAGTTTCCTCACTTTTCCATCAGGTTTGTCGCATTGGCCGACCTTGTCCTTGCGCAAGAGTTCGGCGACCCGGCGAAGAAGCCCAGCACAGGGCGCCCTGGGGAGACAGAGCCGCCTTTAGCCTCAGCAGCTCCCAGCAGCTCCCTCGCCTCCGAAGCGCCGGGACCGGGGATGCGGGCTGAACCTGCAGGCTTAGCTCGAAGCCGCAAGACAGAGAGCCCATGGATCGAAGAAATGCGCCTAGAAGGGATGGAGATGACCGTGTCCTGCTCGTAGAAGCTACCTTGTATGGACACACAGAAAGCCTCGAAGCGAGTATAGACGCAGGGGAAAGAAGACCTTGCTGCCGCTTAGAGGCGAGCTGGGAACATCTCGTTTGCCAAGGCCACTGGCTTGGTGTCCTTGTAAGGTCCCCCAACATGGGATATGGCCGAACTCAAACTCAACCTAGAGGACTTCGACCATGGGGGCCGGGGCTTGTGGTGGAGGGCATTTACGAAGGTATCGCGGGCACCGGAAAGCTGCAGACCTAAAGCTCCAAAGCAACCGCCTCCTCCCAGCAGCTGTCGCTAACCCGCGAAGTGGCTCCTGGAGTCATCGTGAACTCGGGAACTCTTGAAAAGAGAATGATTCAAGGTGCAGATATAGCCACTCTAACACCACAAACGAACTAGATTTCTTGTGTAGCCCCTCATGTCCGGTGTTGCTCCGCCCTTCGGAGCTTAAGATTTGCATTCCCTTTACACATCCCCGGGCCTTGGAAGGCGCTCCTGTGCAGCATCTGCTGGTCAATCGTCCAAGTAGGACTCCTCTCAGGTGCGGAGCTTCTCCGAGCCCGAGGCCCCAAGCAGCTTCTTCCTCTTAGCTGATGGAGAGACTTTCCCCCCTTGCAAAATAGATGCCCAAACAAGGAAGAGCTCTCTATGGGTCCCTGTCAAAGAGCCGATGCTCCAGGGCTGCAGCCAGGCAGCGCTCCGCGGAAAGTCCTGGCTGTACCGGGGAGGGGCGAAAATGCGTGTGTTTAGGGCGCCTCAGATCCGGTCCTGTCGGCCCAAGTCCATGGAGAAGACGGTCCAGAAATTCACACCGCCTGTCCTGAACTTACTTCAACTTCTGAGCTCCTAATAGCCTTGAACTCACGCAACCGCCGGCACCCATAAAGCTTGTCCAAGCCGCGCGCGATGTGCAGGAGAGGCATGCGCCCATCGAAGAATGGGCACCAAATAGCCTCATCAAGATCCAGCGCAAGGAAGACGAATCCATCTGTCGGCACCAAAAATGAATGGCTCAGCTCGGGAGCTGAAGGCTCAACAAGTGGATTTCAGCTTCAGCGCTCAATACGCGAAGCAAAGATGACGAGTTGCCCAACTCAGCTCGCTCGATGGCCTGGTTTCGTAACAGACAAGCATGAGCAGAACATCAACAGCACCTGCCCGGCAGAAACCAAGTGCCTGCCAGTGCGTGAGGTTGTAGCTCTGTCGGAGTGCGAAATATATCTGCGACACGCACTGCGGGAAGTAGATAAACTGTGCCTCTGCCAAGGCGGCCCGTGCTATGCAAGTGGTAGACCAGGAAGTTGCTGCAAGGCACACACCTTCTCCACAGATTCTGCCCGGTACCGCTGACCCTCCTTGCCAGGCCATGCTTTGGTGTCGGACCCGACTAGGGAGGCAGTTCACGTATGCGACAGCAACTCTATGACAAGGGGCACGGATCATCTGAATGAAGTACCACTCCATAGAGTACTGGTATCCATTGTACCTCAGTGCCCACCCAACTTACAATGGCGCAGCCGCTAGCATCCTAGTGACCGTGGTGCAGTTCCAAGTTCTGTGCAGTCGCATTGGAGCAGAGCAAGACAAGAAGTCGCCGGTGCCCGCCCTTTGACACAACAGATGTCATGGCAAATCAAGGCGCTCACACTCGGCAAACTCGTCGAGGCCATGGACGCACTGCGGATTCCACGTACCAGTCTCCTCATCCAACGACTCGGATTGCACAGAAAAGAATAGCAGCAGAGCGAAAGACAGAGAGGAGCAGCAGCCAGAAAGTGAGAGAGAGAGAGAGAGGGAGAGAGAGCGAGGGAGGAAAGAGGGAGGGATAGGGGGATGGTGTTGAGATTGTTGAGCAGCGCGAAAGATGCGAAAGTGACAATTGTGGCAGGCATAGCGGTCCTTATATTGACACTTCGATTTGGGAATCTCCTTGGATTGCGTGGCGATGCTCGTCCGCTTGCAACTGTCATTCTGTCGCAGTTGACATCAAGGATAGGAATGCCGTTACCTCGAGCAGCTCTGGAACTCTTCAGCGAAGTGTTGGTTTAGGGTTTAGGGTTTCGGGGGTCTGCGTTAGTAATTGTACCCTTCCGCCAAGCTGCCAGCAAGGCAAACTGACCATACAACGCCTCGTCGCCGAGCAATGCAGGGACCGGACACGGAGAAGAAGACTTATAAGTTACTTATAAGGTTTTAGTTGGGCCAGCAGCAAGGTGGCAAATGGACACGGATCCCTCCCCCTGCATCGTCTCGTTTCAACCCGGGGCTGCAAACTCATTCCCGCCGAAACTACTCTTCACCTGTGGCCACTCTAGTAGAGCGGCAACGACGCATGTTTGCTCAACCTCGCGCCTGAATGCTTGAAGCATCCAGCGGCACAAAGAACCCGCCAGCTGTCTGCAGCGCTCGGAAGAGATACAGCAGGCGACATGGCTGAATGCGCATGCGAAGACAAGGTCTGCGTTGCACACACAATGCTTTTTGCAAGTAAGAGCTTGAAGTGGCGAAGGAGTGTAGCAGTTCTGCAATCTCTTGCGATTGTCAAGTGCCTGCCAAGCCTCAGCCTCAAATGCCGATGCAACGAACTTTAGGCAAGTGCCTTCTGACTGCTCGGTCGCATGGCACCGAAGGAGCCCGAGACTCGAGATTTCACCGGCCTCGCTGAGCGCCGACCTGGCCCTCCTGGCGTCCTCCTTCTCCTCGAGCACCTTGTGAAAGCCTCGTGCTCTTCGATTCATGCGCTCTTTCCCAAAACCAAGGTCCATGTTTTGGTGCACAAACCTTTGGGTGTCACACTGAGCAAGAGCCCGATCGTCTCCAGGGAAGGCCTCCAGTTCGCCGCGGCGCTGGGCCGTCGGCGGGTCCGTGCCTCAAGGGTCGCAGTGGTAGTGGCTTGAAGCACCTGTCACTGGCACTGAGCACCGTGCCACCCCATGAGCCATCCAAGGAATCAGACCGCCGTCAGATCTGACTCAAGACCTGAGCCAGGGCTGGCAGCAGGGCTGCCGGATGAGCCACAACCCAGTACCTACTCCTTTTTCGCTAACTGGCCTCAGGTACCAAAGCAAGTGACAAACGGCAGATCGAGACGGAGCGAGCTCAGAACGCAGCATCCGTAGGCTCCCAAGAAGGCCACCGGCACTCGCCCAGCCTGCACACGGATCACGCGGCTGGACTACACGAAAAAAGCTTGCAATCTTCCTCGAAGCGCCTCTGCAGCCGTCAACCCAAAGTTGCTGGCGCTGAGAATGACGCCATCCGCCGAGGCGATGGTGAGCCACTGCCTCAGAACCGGCAGAAACTTCCGAGAGCAGAAGATGCTTCGAGTGCAAAGCAGAAGGAGATTTTTTTGTGGACTCTAGTCACTACCAAGTCCATCAGAGACTTGGGAGTCTCAGAATACGACATCATTCAAGCTAAGAATGCTGGCCCTAAATGCTCAGTAGAACAAAGAATCCCCGTATTCGAGGCCCGCATGCGTCTTCTGGGCTCTTGACGCCCATGTGTCTGTGATCCCGGCAACCTGGCGAAAAGGAACTCAGGACTCCGTCCTTTTCTCTCACATGCTGGGGCCCGAGCGGCCACCGGAAGCGGACTTCGATCAAGATGCACCTCTTGGCTTCCGGACTGAGAGTATACGCATTTGTTTTAAACTTGGGAATCACATCACACGGAACCGTGAACCACTCTCTCAGTGTCCAACAATGGAGGCGTCCCCCTGCCCTGGCAGAAATGCTAGCCTCAGTGACTTAGTTCTCTGACTCTGACTAGGATGGGCGTCTGCTTCTTTGTCTGCAGGGCTGCACTCGGAACTCATGTCTCTGCACGCCTCTAAAACTCAGCTGATGACTTGTTCCGCTTGATCAACTCAGCTATCCTGCCGGGGAACTGCCACCGCCATGGGTGTCATACCACAAGGTTGGACGGCGCAAAGCCACGAAACTAATGAAGCAGCAGGAAGTAAGTCGTTGTCTTCTCGAGGATGCTGCTGAGGGCGGAACAAAGGCGATGAGCCCGCCTCGAGTGCAGCAGTCATTCCTGGCCTGCGACATCCCGCGACTGGCCTCGGCAGTGTCGGCAGCAAGATACCAGGCCACGTCGCCGTCCTCGGAGAAAAGCACGGCTCTTTGAGTCCATAGCGTGGCATCCCAATTATTGAGGCTTCAAAGACCCACTGCACCCCCGGACCCCAAAGTGTCCTTCCAGCGCTGATGTCTTTCCAGTCCCTACCGGCAGGCACGACTGCAAACCGAGAAGAGGGTTGCAAACACCCCCAAGAAGCATGCAACCACTACCCTCTACCGAGCTTGGACATGTCATGCGGCACCTGCGCGCATCCCAGGAAGCCCTCCAAGTCGCTGAGCCCGTGCCGGGGCGGATCCTAGGGCATGCAATTCGCGTTGGTAACGCAAAGCGCTGGAAAAGCCTGTGGCATGGCACACCTGTGCGACAGTATCTGCCCCGAAGGGGCTCCGAGGCACTGACTGACCACCTGACCGCTAAGGGCTCTGTGCATGCGGAGTGGCATGTATGTCAGTTCGCACAGTGCCCACGTAAGTCAACGTCCATCTGCCCTGAAGCTGTTACCAACGTCCAACCCCACGGCAACAGCTGAGTTCAGGAAACGATAGACTGCTGACAATTTAATGCGTCTCAGACGTCTCGCATGTTACCGTAGCGAGCTGCTCAGAATCCAGGAAGTGGCTACAAGATCAACAGCCAGCTCTCGTTTCAGGCCTTGGTGAGCCTAGAGGAGCCTACACGGTCAATGCCTCAATGCCCTCCATGAAACTACACCGCTCCTGTTCGGTGATTTGTCTCCTGCTCGGAAGTGGACTGCGATGAGGCGCTTGCGCCCCAACTTGGCAGCCTGAAGCTATCGGCAAATTTAGGGTTTAGGGTTTAGGGTTGCACTTCTTTTTGCGGCCTCAGCGACGAAAACAAGGAAGCAGGCCGAGCATGTCGCTTAGTCTGGTTCTTGCTTTCGGCTTCTGTCTTGCACTTTCTGGGTCACTACAGCACGCACTTGCGGCAAAAGCATGCCTGACCCCCGGGCGTGCCTCCAGCACCTGCGACAGGAACTCAGAGCAAAGAGGGCCAACCAGCGGCGTGAGTGGAGAGTGGCACTCGTGGCAACGCAACCTGTGATAACACCCCCCGCGTAGCGGTTCCGGGAAGAGGAAAGTGCCCCTTCAAGTGTTGTGGAACTCCCACACTCCGTTCGCCTCTGCATGCCGGGCTGCAAGCAGCTGCGAGGGTTCGAAGAGGAGCTCGAGCAATGCTGCATGGAGATACGGCCTCGGCAGGAGATGCGGACCTGTCAAACTTCCTGCGCCTAACTGCTGGCCTTAGAGCCTCAGAGACTACCAGAAGCTGCGCGGAGCACGTTTTCAGCAGCTGTGCGGCAAGAGGCCCCATCAGCGACTGAGCCTGCAGCGACAGTCATGACAAAAAAACTACAGAACAAGTCTCTGCGGGGGCCACTGCCTCCTTGCTCTGTAGCACAGCTGGCGAAACTCTCTGATTGGTATGCCTCAGACGGGTGCAACCCACAAGAACCCACCCGAACAGAGCAATGCAGCATGGCACGCAAGGAGTCAAGCCTCTCTGCTCTCCAGTGCCTCCTGGCCCGTTCAACGACACACGACAGCCCGCACAAAAGAGTCAAGCCTCTATGCACATGCATCACGTGTGCCTCGTGACTCCAGACCCCTACAGCAATGCGGCACGAAAGCCGTCAAGCCCCCATGCATCACGAGTGCCTTCCGACCCTTACGAGAACACCTTCACGCCCCACTCCCAAGAGCAATGCAGCGCGAAACAAGTCAGGCCTCTATGCATCCGGATCGCCAGCCTCCTGACCCTTGCGACAACACCCCACGCCCCAGAGTATTGTAGTGCGAAAGGTCTCAAGCCTCTATGCGTCGCGAGTGCCTCTTGTCCTTTCGAAACACTCCACCACCCATTCCGGAGCACCTAGCCTCAGCAGCCCCTATTGCTTATTCTCTGCTCGTCCGCTTCTGATCCTACCCATTTCGTGCTGCATTGCTCGGCACCTGTCTAGTGCTGCCGGTTCGTCTGACAACAGCTTGCGAACTGTCATCAACGAGAAGAACAGATGCTAACCGTGTTCTTAGTTGCAGGTGCACTTCAGGAAAATTTCCCTACACACCCAGCCACAGTCACTCAGCCCTGAGCAACAGCTTCTTTGGACCTTTCTTAGGCCCTGGCATCACAACCACCTTCTCGGGCTCTTGGGTCAAGATCCATGGAAGGTCGTCCACCAAATCCTGGCAGGTGAACACGCAGACTACCACATTCACCCATCCCCGGCGTCTGGTGCGCTTTGGGGTCTTATCCGATCCAGAATGAACGCATTTACCTTGCGCCTGCGGAGCAAACGCCACGGCTCTTGTAAGCATGGAGGCATTGCATTGTATCGATCGTTGTAGTTCGTCCTTCCGATCACAGGCTGCTTTGCTTCTCTGCTTCTCTAGCCGAAACATAGAAAGTTTGGCCCGGCCTCCGACCGACAGCAGAGATAGCGCCATGTAGCCGCCAATCCAAGAGAAACCTGAAGGAGGCAGGGAGAGAGGTAGTATGTGTATGTATGCATGTGTATGTATGTGTATATGTATGTGTATATATATATATATCTATGCATGAGGGTTCTGCAAGGGAGATGGGCTGCGCAAAGGGCCCGGGAGCATAAACCTATTGAATCACTTCTGTTAAAAGAAAGCCTTCGAATCATCGTCGCCTACCAAAGGTCAGCAGAACCGCCGAACCCAACAGCCAATCTCTCAGCCCCCTTGGATTTTGGCTCAGCATCTTGAAGAGCTTTGCCGCAAGATGCCGCGCGGCCTTTTGGCTTCTCAGTCAAGCTGAGATGCAGCTAAGTGCCTCCTCCTATTTTTTCGGTTGCTTCGAACATACCTCGCAACACGTTGGGGCTTTGTGTGCTACGAAATCTCATCAGGCAGAGGTCTTGTCGATCCTGCAGACTTGACTTCTTCTGCTGAGTTCGCCACGGCGAGGCTGTAGCAGCTGATGTAGCGGGACGGGACCTCACTATGTAGGAGGCTGTCGATGCATGGTCACGGCGGTCGGCGTTGTCCGTAGTCTTGCATCTGACTCCGGGGTCCCCACGAGCAGAGTCGATGAAGAAAGCACGCCGAGAGGCTATCTGCAGTAATCTTGGACTTCTGATGCATGCAATGCGGAATGCCCTAATTAGGGAGCCTTTTTCCTGAGCAGATCTTTTCTGACATTTTGTTGCAAAAGTGTGTAAACACTGTTCGTGCTCGGCGGATGTCCAGATACAATACGTACAGTTTGTAGGGTCTTCACCAACTTATCTGCATAGACAGCACAGGACACGTCACATGACATGCTTGGGAGCTCTCAGATCGCGGCAGCCATCAGGAACACCCCCAGGAGTCCATTCAGACGATCGCCTGAGTTTTCTGCGGAATCTGCTCTGCAAAAGCCGCCGCCTTACCAAAGCTCGACAAATGCAGTCTGTCGATGTCTGCATGTGATCTTCGGGCTTCTTACTCTGCTGGCCTTCAACGCTCGGCCTTGCCTTTCCCGAGCTGTGCTAGGCCTCCGGGCCGTGGCCACCACAGAAGCCCATAGCCGAGCAGCGGTAGATCAGCAGCCGAGGCATTGGCCCTGGCGCAGAGCACCGTCTCGTAGAAAATGCCAGGGGTGCACCTGGGGGGGGGGGGGCCTCCCGCACCCAAGGTCGCTTGTTCCAGGAGCGTCTTCCTTGCTGCACGGTGGAAGTCGAGGTAATCCTGGCAAGACTTTTCAGAGGAAATGAGCCACCAAAACGGAATCCTTCCGCCGTCCTTCAAGACCGAAACCAGCGCCGGGCAAGGCCTGGAGACGTGACTCTCGAGTGTTAGAAGAGAAGCTCTGGCGCATGTCATCGTTCTGCTCCCAGCCCAGTGTCCACCTATGCCTCTGCTCCTCCTCACTGCCACTCCGATATAATAGTCCTACATGATCTACCCGAAATCCCTGCAACCTGAACCCCATAGCCCAGGGACCCTAAACTACCACCGCATCAAAAGCGGAGCCCCTGGCGCCGTGTCCGGAGATTCTCGAAGGGCCAGGCCGTAGCCATGCCCGGCGGCGGCCCGGACCTCGCCAGGGGGGTTTGCACGGTTGAGGGCTTTTCGGTTTGAGGGTTTTGGGACCTCTGGTTGAGGGTTTGAGGACTCAGGACCTGGGGTTAAGGGTCTTGGCTTTAGGGAATCAAAAGAATCTGACACACCACTTCAGAGCGAGGGGTTGAGGGCTTCTTCTCGAAGCAGATCATGCATTATGGCGTCTCAAATGTTTCTGCTGCAACTGCCACGCCAAGCGGCATCCCAGGTAAGCCTTAAACCCTAAACCGTGAACCTTTTAGACTAGGCCGTCTACCGTCTCGCCTGGCTCGGCCAAGACGATAATCGTGCGGGGCGCAAGTGCTGCGGCCACACCTGAAAACCCGAGGCAGAAGGGAAGATACGTGCCCGCGTTGGGGCCTTTGGACACAAGCTACTCTGACAGACTGCTAGGGCCCCATTGCGGCCCAGTCAGATAAGTCAGCCTTCCAACTCCAAGCTCTAAGTCTTTGTGACTGACCCGACATGTTGCCCAGGCAAGGCAACGCCCAAGGCATCCTGAAACGCATAGCTCTGGAACTTTGTGACAGTTAGAGTTCTTTCCCGGTGCGGTACTCTTTGTGCCTGTGACATGCCAGCTCGTCTTCACCAGCTGCACCGCACATTCGGTTCGAGGCCCGTGCCACTTTGACGGACGGGCTGCGAATCAGCTTTGCCAGCAGCATCGCCTGGCAACGCTTTTCAGATAAAAGCCTCTGATGAGTCGGCGATGCGGCGCCTTGATCCCGAGTTTTGCAAAGAAGCTAGAAGACCGTAAACCCTCAACCCTAAAGACCCTAAAGAGCCTAAAGACCCTAAAGACCCTAAAGACCCTAAAGACCTAAACCTTGAAAAGGATGCCTTGTACCTGGAGCCCTCCTTGCGCTCGAGCCGGCTCGGCGGAGCCCTGGAGCGCTGCCGCGTCCCCGCCGCTGGGAACTTGGAAGGACGCCACAACCTGTCAGAGGAAACAGGGGTTCAGGGCTTATAGGGTTTAGGGCTTGGGGCTTATAAAGTTTAGGGTTTGGGGCTTATAGGGTTTAGGGCTTGGGGCTTATAGGGTTTAGGGCTTGGGGCTTATAAAGTTTAGGGTTTGGGGCTTATGTTTTTTTTTTGAGTGCCTTTTTCATAGGGTTTAGGGTTTAGGGTTTAGGGCCAGAGTCGGGAGCCGCTGCTGGAGCCGCTGCTCCTTTGCCAAGCATCCTTTGTTGCGCCAGATGAAATGCCGGACTGCTCTCATGTCTTAGACAAGGAGATCTCCATGAAAGCTCCGGGTGTGCGCCACGGTCTATCAAAAAGTGGGCGCTGGAACTTAGATTATCACAACCTGCCATGACGAGGGTTCACAAATTTAATCTTGAAGGTGAAGCGACAGAAGCCAATGTAAACTGGCGTGGCGCACAGCCGGTGTACGAGGATGGAACAGTGCACAGCTACGAATTTGAATAGCGGGAACTTGTCGCCCCGTTGGAACGAAAGACAAAAACCGACGCACGCGTCTGAATCAGGATGAACCTACATGACTTCGCTTGAAATTGCGTGGAGGCAGATGGAAAGGACATGAGGCAGGCGCCGTGAAGACGAATCGGCTTGCGAGCTGCGAACATCCCAACCGGCCCAACCGTACTGCTACAAAACACTAAATCGCCAGGGACGATCTTCCCGGCTCACCAACCTGTTCATGCCCCTCAGACCTGTCAGGCTTGGCCATCTTCATTTAAAAAACCTGTTGGACGTTACGATTCCTATGCTACCGGTCACCGCCTCCCTCTCCAGAGTGCGGGGACGAGGTTGATCTTGCGAGTTATGGTCCAGACACAGGCCCTCGGGTGGAGCAGGATCTACACATTGGGCAAACACCGGCGGACGCTTGAGTCACGAACCACCTCATAATACACACCTCGTGGAAGACATGTCCACAGGGCAACAATGCTACAAGGTCGCTATTGGCGAAGTCGTCCAAGCAGCAGGCACAAGTTTTCTGCGGGGTGATGTGAGGCTTCTCTGGTATGTAGACTCTTTTGAGCACAGCTTTCACTGGAGGGCTCGAGGAGTTGGAGGGCGTCTTCAACTGAAAGAGATGGAATACGGGCTGGGCATCATCAAGCGCCGGGAACCTCATTGAAGACCAGATCTGATTGTAAGGAGGCCCAGGCCCAAGACAGCCGAATCCAGGGCCATAGCTTCGATCTGCTTCACCATCACTGACGACCATCAAGCGACAGGATAGGCAAAGAAAACATGTCAGGCTGAGCATCGTCACCAGTAGCTCTTGCATGAATGGAAGTCCCGGTATGGCCAAGTTCATCGCAACGATTACCAGGCACATTACGGCCCAACCACTAGTCAAGCAGCAGAGTATGCATGTGGCAAGATTCCTCTCCAACTCGGACGCGGCCATCACGAACAAAGCACGAGGCCGCGAAGCCTTCGCTCATGTAACCTACGTGTGAAGTTGAGAAGTCGGCCTTGACGTGCTGCCATGAATCTTCCTCTAAGGACCTACGAGCTAAAATCGCCATACTCCAGCATGTCATGGCATGTCTCGATGTACTGCAGCCGCCACCCGCTACAAGCCTCGGGTATCCCCCGCTGGGCCAAAGGCTGCACGAACAGACAGGAGTGCTGGCTGCCTGCAGTCCTACATCATCTTTAAGTTGAGCACAAGACCCCATTTCCAGCAATCCGTGCGTCCAAAAGTAAATGTTTTCGATCTCAGGTCAGGAACTCCCGTCACTGTGTGCTGCCCTGTGCTGCCCTTCTTGCAGAACTTGCATCGAAATCCATGACAGCCCCTGTGAAGAGCCAAGACCTGCTCCTTGAAACCACCCAGAAGAACACAAAAGCACCCGTGGGGTGTTCCAAGTGCAGCTTTGGGCTCCGGGCCCTCGGTCCATCGTTGGCCGCCCTGGGATGCGAATGAAAGGCTGGTGTCATGTCCTGAAACCGGGCAGGCTACAGATTTCTCTGCACCAACAGCAAAGGCATGGAAGCAAGCTCCATCACCAAACCCAGCAATCTGCAGACGAAACAGACCCGATCCGGATTTCTGCTTCTCACGATAGGACTCCAGGTGCACGCTTTATCACACTGCCTACAGGTTATTGGTCAGGTCGGATGCGCCGTCTTTGTGCGTCTGACACGTGTTGTGCAACGAATGTTTGATGGTTGCCATGAGCACGAAACGCTAGCACAGCTCTTGGACCCTGGTGATAACTGCGACAGTTCGTACTCGGAGGCCGTCTGTTGGCCAAGCAGCTGCAGCAAACAACTCGACCAGTATCTGAAGTCCGATGCCGATGAGCGGGGCCTCCCCGCGTAGAACAAGGCAAGCTCTTCTGCGTTGAAGAGGGCGAAACGACGCCAGATGAGTCGCACCTAGTTGCCACTGCGGATGCTGGCAAAAAGCAACACGATCCGAGAGCGTACATCTGCGAAAGAATCTACCTTGGGCATGCCCCAGACGGTGTATCATATCCATAGCAGTTTCTATCACGGGGAGGCAAGCGTCAGCATATTCCCATACTTCTGGGCAGGGCTTCGCCGTGAAAGTGCAGAAGGAACTCTGAAGATCTGCTAGTACCGGCTGCTGCTTGTGCCGTTGAGGACGGTGCCCGGTCATGGCCAGTGATGAGCCGGGAGAGATAGGACGCCTCAGCAGAGCCCAAACCCACAACCCAGCTGTGACAGGGGGAGGCAAAAGCCCCGTGCTCATGCATGATATCGAAGCCGCAACTACCGGTGTCCAGTAAGGGATGCCTCAGAAAGTGGACGAAAGCTTACGTATGGTGGCCTTTTGACCTAAACCCCTAAACCCTAAACCCTCAACCCCCCTTCTAGGCATCGTTGGGGCCCCATGGGCAACGCTGGCCGGCCTGGTCTGGGTTGGCGGTGACGATGACCTCAGCACTCCGATTGCCCGAGCGCTCCGATTCTGAAACGACCTGCCTTTGCAAACTGCCTGTAAGGCTTAGGGTTTAGGGTTTATCTCTGAGGCCTTGACAATCTTCACCGACTCACCTGATGGAAGTCACTTGAATGCGGGCTTCATCGACGAGCTCCACTTTGCCTTGAGCCATCTTGTCCAGGAGCGGGTTCAGCGCCGAGACCTGACTCGAGCGGTTCGAAGAATACACAGCCTGGCAGTCCCGAGAGGCTTGACTGAGCCTTGAACGTGCTTGAGCAAAGCATCTTTACCTTGCGAAGGCCAACGAAGTGAAGAGAACGCAAAGGAAAGTGAAGTTTGTGTTGGGTAGCTAAGCGCTCAAACCGACGGAGGGCTTCATTCGCTTGGTGCCGCACTCAACGTTGCCTTATCGTTGGCGAAATCAAAGCCTGGAAAGACAGGGAATCCATGGCACCCAGGCTCAGGCTGCACCAGGTGTTTTGCAGCACTACAGCTGCGCATGCAACGTGCGCACCACAGGCTCTAAGCCAGCCACGTAGATTTGTTCCAGGATTCGGCATGGCCACGAGGAGAGTCACCTAGCAAGACAGTCGGGCAAGCCGGCAATGCGGGTTTTCCACTTTGCTAGCACCTCGGGTCCCTCGTCATCTGGCTCCGCACCTCGGAATCTAAAAGTCTGGAGACCACATTCCAAAATCTCGAACCTGTCCCGCCAGGAGGCTGGGCGACAACCTCGCCGGCAGCAGCGGGGGTGGCGCCACGGCAGGCACTCCCTGAGATTAAACAGACTCACGGAGAGCGCTGAGGAAAACTGTCCAGGACCAAGCTGCGGCCTAGCAGGACTTGTGTGGGACATGCACATGCAAACACGGACCACGCTGAGATGGCCACGCAAAGAAGAAACTGCGCATTGCTTTCCGGCTGTAGTGCCTTTGTCAAGAACATGATGCAAAGGCTCAAGGACCTTCCTTAAACATCTGCATATTTTTGGAGCCGTGTCTCCTTTGCTCTGGGTTCCTGACATGCTGGTAGGTCAGCATCAATCCCGTCACCTCAACAAACCCACACACTCCACGAGGTCTTTCGCCCCAAAGATCCCAAGGCCCCTGCTTCGGACATGATGGCCTCTGCCAGCCTGGGAGAGTGGGATTTTTTCGAGGGCCTCCTTTGGGAAGACTCTTTCAGGCCCGGGCTCCGTGGAGACGGCCTCAGACATGGAAACTCTCAGGCGCCGCTTAGTCGAAAAAAAGACCCCCCTCGCTTCCTCTTCTTCTTTCACTCGCAGACACCACGGCGGATCTATCTAGTCTAGTTGGGCTCCAAGGAGCACTGCACTTTTTCTTCGCTTCCACTTCGCTTCCATCTACGGCTGCTGTCAACACGCCATCGGGGGATCTGCTGAGTCTCAGACCAAAAGCCCATCCACGTAACGCTGCCAGGTGTCCCGAAAGCCTTGCAGAGACCACTATAGGACTGCAGTCACTTCCCCCTTTTTTAAATGAAAGATCCCCCTGATAATCAAAACACATTGGGGCGAATCCTTCCGAAATCACCCCTGCCCTTTAAAGCCTATTCTGAATTGGAGGAGGGTTTCCAGGCTCCAAATGCCGGAATAAGAGCAAGAGCAAGAGCAGGAGTTAGAGCAAGAGCAGGGGCAAGAGCAAAAGCGGGAGCAGAAGCAAGAGCAGGATGAGCAGGATCAGGCGCAAGAGACGCAGCAGAAGCAGGAGCAAAAGCCAGTGCCTGAGCAAGTGCGAGAGCAGGAGCAAGAGCACGGCCCGTCAAAAGTGGCAGTAGAGATAAACATACCACCTAGTACTAGAAACACTTTCCGAATAGTTATTGGGAGGCCCCCGCTTTCGTATTAGTAGGAAAAAATAACTTAGAGACTTCACACGGCAGACTCGCCGCCTCCCACTCCGTCCCGCTGGTGCCAGGGCCGTATGCTCACGCGGTGCCTCGCTGAGTTTTGCAAAGTTGCAAAACGAAGCAAAAGCCAAAGCACTGGGATATACTGGGATGTTGAAGCCCAGAGCTCGCCCAAACCGTCACACCTGGAACTCCTAGGCCTCAACCTTTTGCTGGGCAGTCAGAAGCTTGGCTTCCAGGCGCGGTCGGAGAGGGGATGCCCCGACGTTGTGCCTGGTCGAAGCTCATCAGGATGCTCTCAGAGCACGGCGATGTCAAGGTGCTGATACACTGTAGGGCTTTATTTGGGACAAGCATGTTGCTTGAGAACATGCGACGAGAGACACAAGAAGCCGAAAAGAAGGCCGAAACACTGAGGAGATGCCCGCACAGAGGTATCACATCTGAAAACATCGAGACCTGCGATTCAGTGCACAAATTGCATGCTGGGCCTCGATGAAGTCCATGACACAGGCTTCAACGCCCACCTGAAGAGAGGCGGCTTGAATGCATCCGCTGAGGCACTAGGAGTATGCCTAGCGCTCAACCAAGCAGCCCAGGTTTAGGGACCAACTTGGCACATGCCATTGGCCTGTCGCATCTGCCCGGCCACAGCGGCGTCGTGAGCACGCAGCTCCTAAGCAGATGCGCTGGAGTCAGAGGTTGTGGCTCCCTCCTTGGGAAATGCGTGACAACGAAATGTTACTTGTAGCTGCCATTCCCCCAGCACACAACATCCTGCCTGGTAGACCTTCTGCATCAGCGCAGAGAGGCGGCGCCACTCGTCTGAGATGGCTGCCTGTACCAGGTCAAATGCATTGACCCCCCTGGTGGCAATCGTAGCCTCTGCCGATCGACTGGCCACATTTGTGCCAGTGGCTTCTCACGCCCAGTTTCCCCCTGCAGCCCTCGGTCCAACACGCAGACTGATCAAAATCCCGGTGCACCTCGGCTTCAACTAGCAGTCCCTCGGCTCCTTCGCCTGAGCAGTGGTTGAACTGCAGCAGACGTCTTTGGCACAGACAGCATGCGCAGTGAGCGTTCGGACGTGCAGATGCAACCGAGACATCCCTGCTATGATGAGGCTTGCAGTCAAGAGCCAAGGGGGGGCCACGTAGAGAAAGTCTGGCCGCGGCCTCCTGTCAACCCTAGACAGACTTTCCACCTGAAAGGTTCAAGACCATCCAACATCCTCCCAACATCAACCCTGCCTTCTGCACTGCCACGGCAGGCCGCACAAAGTAGGTGACTGGCACGGCAGGCATGGGGCAAAACGCTTCGGCTCGGAGGCTGAGCTCTAAGCCATGAAATTGCTTGATTGGCCATTTCACTTCGATAGCCACGCCCCAGGAACTTGCCTGAAACGATGAAGGTGTCTCTCGAAGCCTTGCACATCTTGAGACGGCGTGCCTCTGTAACCAATTCCCTCCGTACAAGAACCTGGGTCAAGAACCTACATCCAAGGCCGTGCCCACTACTGAACCGCCGAAACCAGAATGCAAACGAGCACTGGGCCTCACCGTCCCTTGGAGCAGGCTCAAGATTTCCTCCAGTGCGACTTGAAAGTGGGTTGGCACTTGTATCTCGTGCATTCTTCAAACATCTCATCGAATCGTGGACTGACATGCCACAGAAGAACTTGAACTTGTGCGTGATATCTGGCGACAGCAACCCGTCATCATCTCTCAATGAAAAGTAATGCCCTAACCTACGCAGATATCTGTTCGATACCACTGTGTTTCGTTCTGTACCCATGGCATTGCCCCTAGCCGTCATATTATTGGTGGCATACAGTCGCTGTGCACACAGAGAAACTGAGAGTTGAGAGGCTCAGTCCAACCAGATACGCTTAGTAGCGCCAGAGCCTGCGAAAGCCCTGCTGTTTCTCGGAGACGGCCAGTAGATGAGGCGGGCATTAGTCGCCGCGCTGCATATGAAAGACGTAAGACAAGGAGGGGCAAAGCTTCGGCATGACTGCGGGAACCCTACGGGCATACCAGATAATGTAACCTTTGATGAAGAACGTTGAAGAACCCGTGCTTCCTAAGCCAACATCGCCTTTTGAAGCTCTGCAACACACGTGTTGGCTTATGCTGGAATCCCTTTAGTTGTTTCATGATTCGTGTGAACGAACTTCATGGAATCGGTCATCGCATCCCCGCCTGTGAGATCTGTTGGCACTCCACAAGCTTCTTCAGCCTCGCACTCAGCATGGCCTGTGACTCAAGGCAGGCTGGCAGCATGACGACGGCGACTTCCGATGAGCTCAGGTAGACATTAAGAGCCTTAGGCTTTGATCTGGCTTTCAGCTTTTGAACTTCTCATTCAAGGGAGTTGTTGAGGGCTCCAGAATTAATGTAGGTATTGTTTTGTTTTTCTCCGGTGTTTTTTTTCTCTCTTTCAGGCAAATTATAGCTGATTTAGAATCTCCACGCCGTCTGAAGTGGCAACTGCTTGAATGTACATGTGCACGCATCTCTGCTCATGCAGACTCATGCAAGCTCTATGCGATTTGCACAATAAAACCCGATTCTTGCTGGGCCATCCGGAGGGTGCCGGGTCACTTAGCACTTTTTGGGGGGGCATTCCAGTTCATCATTTATGCTACACACGCGCCCTCTTTAGCGATCCGTATGAACTCTGTGCACCAGCTTGCTGGCAGGATGATGCTTGAAACGAGCTTGCGCGGCTTCAACAAGCGGGGGCGCCTGGCCCCCCATTTGCAGACAGAATTCCTGTATCATGGATTTTTACAAAATTCAACACTTCGCCTGTGTGATGGATTTGCAGAATTGAAAACTTGCACACTCGTGTGACTGACGCAATTCTTCCGGACGGCGCGATGTTCTTGACGGCAAGCCATGCATGGAACAAAAAGAAAGTGGATGGGGGGGGGGGGGGCGGGCGCACCCCCCCCCCATTTGAAAACCCAATGTACGTATGCATTACCTGTTCATAAAGGGTACATATCTTGACAGCAAACCATGCATGGCACCAATCACGCATCCGAAGATGTCCATAGCGCTTAAGAACAGGCTACCAACAACTCAACTCACTAGTACCGGCACGAGCACTAGTGAGTTGATTCCTTCAGAAGGCATCTCTGTCGAACCAAAGTTTTATCGTTTTGTTATCCTTTGGACAGGCAACTTGCCTTTGACTTGGGAGGCTGCATGTAGCAAGTCTTCACGCTTCAGTTTGCAGAGGCGCAGCCTGCCAACCCTCAGTTTGCACAAGCAAGTGCAGCCTCTGAAGCCGGTAGCGGTAGTAGGAGTCGTACGAACAGGACGGGTCGTGCTATATCACCAGTATGGACTATCAGTAACACGAATACGACCACCAACACATAAAAATTTCCATAGAGATCTACCGCACGCAGCAAACCAGGAAGAAAGACCAGAAGCCGAGAAGCTTTGGCATTAAAATCAATAACAAATGACTAGAAAAAATAGCATTCCGTCGTTGAAGCCCTGGGCCCAAGCCCAAGCCCCCTCATACTTCGATCCCCTGACCTCCACTCGCATCCAAGCACATGCTTTCTGCCTGCCTCGGGGGCATCCCCGCAGGGATGCTTTTGGAGTGAAGCCGCCGAATATTGATCCAGAAACCTCGGGAGCTGCGAACGGTGAGCTCGGGGACCTTTGCGGCAACGTCCGCTACTTGGTGCCCGGCTCTTGCCGATCAGCCAGGTGCCGCATCCCGAAGCTGATGCTGTGCCTGTGATGCGAAGTCAGATGGCATCTAGAGCGACCGACCATAGGGCAGCTCTCCGAACAACTGGGTACATCATATATGACACCCATGCCCTGGTCATCGAACGCTCCATTCATGCCGAGATGCTCCAGATGTTCCATCACAGCTGCGACGTCCTGGCAGTTCTTGGACAGTGACCCCAACAGATACTGAAACAAACACCCCTTGCACAGCCCACATGTGCTGCAACACGGCCAGGACCCCTTTCATGAAGGAGTGACGGATGAAGAATTCAATGTGGGGAACACTTCCGGCATCTTGGAAGCTTCGCCTTTTTCCCTTGCGGACCCTCTGCGAAAGCCTCCGCTTCGCAGCAGGTCGCCCCGCGGCCGAAAGCTCGGCTGTCGCAGGGAATATCTGCCTCGACAATCCAGACACTTAGCGCTGACAGGTACTGTCTCGTTCTTTGGCCCCCAGAGATACGACATCTCTGAAAACCGGTGTTCTGCCGACTCAGAGAGTTTTCTCCGGTTCCCATCCGAGGGCGCCTCCTTGGGTTGAAAATGGCTGAACCGCCACGTCATAAACCCTTTTTGCTGTCTCGGCTGCAACAAAAAAGCATCAACTCTAGTCCAAGTCAAGGTGGTGAGTGAACCCCAACGCGATGGAAGACTTCAGCACGTGGGAGTCGGCAGGGGATCAGAAACTCAAGCAGGTAGCAGGTGACCAGCCTGAGCCACACCACCCTTGCTGGTGTCCTGCAACCAGTTTCGGGGATTCTGGGGCGGCTTCGGGCTCGCTTTCGGCAACCAACCTAACCTGAACTGTGCTCAATTAAACACCAGTCCGGCATCGCCAAACGGAAGGAGGCATTCCGGCAGTAGAGATCCTGCTTGCGGCAAGGCCGGGGCCGGCACTGATGCTGTTCAAGACCCCCCATGCCACTTGCCTGCGGGAGCAGAGGAAGCGGCTGCGCCAACCTGTGGGTGCTGGAGGTGCCAAGTGGGCTGACTTTACAAAGTCTGGAGCAGATCAGATCCCTCTCTTCACATCTCGCCACTCCGTCCGAGACGCAATCTGACCCTATCACTGCTTTCTCGCAAGACTGTAACTCACACCCACACCGGACCTGGCCAGCCACCACCCGAGCAGGAGTCGCGGCATGGCGCTGTCCAAATCGATTCAGGGGATACTGCACTCTTTCAGCAGCTGCAGACTCGTCAATGTGATGCGCATCTAGGCATGAAGGTTCCCGATCGAGCTCTCCATGGCTCTTTCGCTTAGTGCTGGCACAGAAGCGCCACTGAAGTCCAAGGTCTTAGGTTGCCTTGGGACGAGTCTTGTTGCTTAGCTACTGGTACTGCATGTCAAGAGTAGCATAGGCTGACGCATGTTTGATGGCTGTGGCACCCATCGGCCTCTGACAAAGACATGGTCAAACAGATTCGGGCACTGCTGCATGCTGCTCTCTTGTGCGAGATAGTAGGGATGCTAAACAGATATTGGCTCAATGCCGGCGCTTGTCATCGACGCACATGCTTTGAAATGCGACGGAGGGATGATGCAGGCAGTAAGTGCCACAACGACTTCATGGAGGGAGGCAGCCGGGCGCTTTTCCGTCGTACTCCCATCCCGCTATCCAACCGGAAGTCGTGCGAAACGATGCGACGGGCACAAATCTTATTGATTCGCTTGTATCAGTGCATCCCACTTAATCCTCGACGAGGCTTATCCTTCCAACCTGGGCTCCTCTTGCACTTGCAAGACATAATCAGACATGGCACTGCTAAAGCTTGGTCTATGTGCAAGGGACGCGTGATGGTAGATAGGGAGAGGAGCGTCACCGCCGGCGCCGACGGGATCGCGACCTGTAGCGTGCTTCAAGAGGTCCAAGTTCCAAGTTGAAGTGAGTTGGAAGGCTGTTGAAGCCCAGCCAGAGTTGGGGCTTCTTGGGTCTGTCCACCCTCCAGACATGGTCCGTCCGCCTGCTTCGGCTGCTGGCCGAATCATGCGCATCATGGCTCCCACGGGGGCCTGATTGCACGTCTTCATGCAATGGATGCCGAGCCTATCAAGGAGTAGGACTACTGTAGGCTATCGAATGTAGTCGGATGTCTTCTTAGCTCAGGCGCGCAAGTTGGATGCAGTTGCAAAGGGAGATGACAAATCGCAGGGCTGCCAAAACAGGAAGAAAGGAAGGTGCATCCCCACCTTCTGTGAAAAAAAACTGAACTTGAGAAGAGTCCGAGGAGAGAAACGGAGCCTGCGTAGTGGAGGCAGGTCAGCCGCAAGGAGCTTTTCCTTTGCCTGGCTGCGGCTTGGGTCGCGTGTGACTCCGTTGAAAGTCCGGAGGTGTTGCTGACTGCAAAAGTTAGGACGTGTCGAGACTTCGCCGTAGCCTCTGTGCCTGTGCGGATCTGCTGTCACTCCGTGATGAATCCTCGAACTGAAGAAATCTCCCGAGAGGGCGCGTCGCGGCCTTGCCAGCTCCAGGAGCATCTCCTCGGCTGGCTCCGACCTTGCCGTGACTGGAGGGACCTTCCCCTGCGTCTTTGTGCCCTCGAATCCGCATCCTTAGGCTGCGGCACGCCATTTACGCACACGATGCGGTCGTGCTCTTGTATCGCTTGCTGTGGGCTTGCCTGCGTGCAAGATGGAAAGAACGTCGCAGTTAGACAAATGTAATTATGCTAACGAGTGTGCCAATTGTCAACGCAGTGGACACCAACAGTTTGGCTCCAAAGCTTCGATGTTCGGGTAAGCCGGGCGTCTCGTCTTCAACTAAAGCTTCGAAAGAATGCCAAAGGCGTGGCAGGCTGAGCAGGTCACCTTGTTCCAGTCATCGACCGCACCTGCCACAAATCCACGAGCACTCATGAAGGCGTCAACCCTTTTCGGGGTGTCAAGCAGAAAGCAAACGGCCAACACTGGGAAGGCTTACTGCCCCATGCAGCCCGGCCTCTTGCAATTGTGTCAATCCACGGTTTCAAGGACCGCGCAGGCACGTAGTTTGCCAGAACCCCAAGTTTCCTGCTCGGCCATGTGTTCAGCTCATGACTGCAGGTAGGTGCCCCCTTTACCCCAAAGATCTAGTCACAGACCCGGTCCCAGGCTGCTTGAGGACCACAGTCCGCTGCTGCGGCCGCTGAAATCGCAGCGTTGCCTCGCGCGGATGCTTTAATTCCTGGTGTGTTCTGTAGATTGAGGTGCTGTCACTCGGGCGGTTCGGTCTGTTCATGACGCAAACGCTCAAGCTCCAAAGAGCCGAAACTCCCTTGAAAGCTCTCGGCGCTCGCCTCGGAGCTGCTGTGCATGGCTTTCTCCTTAGCAACGCTGAGCGTCTCTGCAAGCTCTCGAATCCAGCAGAGCTAGGCAATCTAGGCACTGCACAGTAGATGCATGCGAGCGGCAAGCGCATCCCGTGCCCTGGTTCCATTCACCTCAATGAGGCGGTCGAAGACCTGCAAGCCAGGAACGGACGGGCAGCAGCAAAAAGGCTTCCGGGCTGCTCTGCCGCCACTTCGGCCTGAATGGGATGTTCTGGCAACGACCTCGGAATGGTACAAGCATCCAGGGGCCATCTGCAGCGGCATCCAAAGGCAGAGGACGAAGGCTCTCACTTGTTCCACTTGCTCACGGCCGGAGTGATCTCCTTGATGATCAAGAAGTCCTGCTGAGGCGGCGGCGTCCAACAACTTCGCTGTTCAGACGAGCAATGTCCTCGTCGGAGGTGTCCAGGGACAGGTCCAGCTTGCGCAAGGTGACGGAAAAGTAACCTGACTCCTCGGAGCAATGGCCGCTTGGAGGTGCAGGATTCGCCTGATTCCGCCTGACCTGCCCTCTAGCAAACACGGCGCACAGACCACCAGCATCTCGCCTCCTCTACAGCTGGCGCGATGGGAGACCTCGCAGCCCAGAACTGTTGCATTCCCTCACACGCCTTTTACTGATGGGTGATGATGAACTGGTGACAGATGATCTCTGAAGCAGTAATCTCCAGACTCCTATCAGCTATCACGTCCGTTTCAGCATGCTCTCCACTTGGGAATTTCCACTCCCCAATTCTTCGAAACGAGGGCTCAAAAGGTGGCGGCAGAGTCTGTGCCTCTCATCCTCCTCGCCCCGGTCCTCAGAAAAAACGACGGCTCGGAGAGAAATCTCGTGGAGATTTCACTCCTTGTTGCAGGTTCTTGATCCCTTAACCCCTTCGCTCCGACCCGAAACACGCTCGGACAAGAGAGACTGCCTTGTGCTTCGGGATCCTTGATGGAGCAACCCTGAGAATTGCTCAACCACATGCTGCCATGATGCGCTTCTCTGTCTTTCTACGGCTTGGCCTTTTCTGAACCCAGCTGCCTCTCTTGCCTAGTGAGTCCCTTTGAACCTTGGCAAACGAAGCTCCAAGTGCAACAAACTCGACGGCCTTTCACGGCAGTGCCCCACAGCGGGGCTTTCCGGGGCCCGGGCTCGTTCGCTACCTTGCAGAGGGCCCGAGCTCTCGCCCTACAACTTAGATCTCTTTGCAGCCATTTCATCGGACTTGGGCTTCTCGGTTGCTGTCCGGATTCAGGATTGGCCGGATCCAGCGCTTTGGAGAGTTTGTTGGACGACCACTTCGTGCCCTGATATAAATCTTGCATTACCCATAATAAGGATTAAATACCATAATTCCCATAGTTTAGGGCCCTTAAGGAAACGCAGGATTTCTATCATCGACCGCAGTACCATCTTGCGGCATGCTGCAGGTGCAAATGCTGGAATCGCCAAGAGCCTCCAAGCCACGAAGCATACAGGGTTTAGGGTTTTGGGCTTAGGATGACCCATGTCTCGCAGATCTGGGCTCCCTCGGGTCGCTAAGCAGAAAGTCCTTGAGTTTTGACCCACGGAACACCCGAGACCCAAGCCGTTGCTTTGCGCACCATTGATCCGTGCCTGGATAGAGCTCAGTTTTCGTGTTGCGGAGTGCTTAAGAGCTCTTGGCATGGTGAAGGCCGTAGCATAATCTAAGCGCAAATTGCGTACTTCGCTTGCAATCGAAACTCTAGCCACTTTAGCTACTTCCGACATTCGGGAGCAGTCGGGGAGCAGTTAGAGCAACCGTGTAGGACCGTTCTGCAAAGCAGCAGGCAGCAAAGAGTACCGGCAGCATTGAGCACTTGCAATCACGGAAATGATGGCAATGAGGTTGCTGTATATATACTTTGCCATCTCTGTCGGTGTCCAGCCTCGAGAAACTCTTCCAGCTTCTCTTTGGTTGCCTCGTCCAGTGCGGCAACGCGCGCCTGGCTCCACGCCCGTTCTCAAAATACTTTCTTGAGTGACATGCAGTACTAAAATATGGACCCCTGATGTTTCAAGACTTTGCTTTTAGGTGCCTCAATCTTCCAAGGGGGAGTATTAATCTGGGGGCCCTAAGGCCCTAAACCCTAGACTGCTACACCCTAAACCTCCGAGTACCTGCTTCTGCTTCTGGCGGTCGAAGGTCCTGTCCAATCCTCAGCCAAGCGGCTGCCCGCTCGCCCGGCGACAGGGCTGTAAGGCGATCCCAGAGTGCTGCAATGTCAGGACCTGTGTTAAGGCGGATAATTTTCTGCAATTCCGTTGGTGATACAAATCCTGCATTACCTTAAGGGCCCTAAACAAACTATGGGAATTTATGGTATATTCCTCATTATGGGCAATGCAGGATTTGTATCATCAACTGCAATGAGTCCCGATCCGGTTAGGCTTTGGGGTTTCATGCTTTAGGGTTTTGCGGAGGTCTGCGAGGGCCGGATGACTGCAGGGAAGCTTTGCTTTTAAACCTCGCGGTCAGGGTGCGTTTAAGGAATTGGCAAAGGTCGAGTTTGATTTCCGCTTGAATCTTTGGAGTTACCGGTTGAACATGGTGGTTGAAAAAGCTCGAATTAGGGTTTAGGGTTTAGGGTTCGTCGATCAGACCTGCACTTGCATTATCAGTTTCTGAGCGACCGGCCTCGGGCATCGTCCCGTGATCTGCTGGCATCCTTCGACAATCCCCACGCTTGTCATCAGACATGTGCTGCTCAAGCTCTCACATAGCTAATGCCATGGACGGGGGCGGGCCCCTAGCCAAGTGGTAGGGAACTTAAGCTTGACTTAACCACTAAACTCGTCCGGCTACTTGCTGCTAGAAACTACCTGGATGATACTATAGCGTTTAACTTGTGCGAGAATAAGACACATGGGAACCGGTGTACAGGCCCCATCCTTGCAACGACCTACTGCACTGCACTCTGTGTTGACGGACACTCCCAGGCCCAAACGCAACCTCCTCATCCAAGCCTAGCCGGGCCTAGCCCAAGGCCCAGCTCTTGCAAAAGGCAAAAAAAGTCATCCCCACCAAAAGCTTGCAACCCAGCCCTGGCAGGTGACCTTGCGGGAGCTCTCCTCGGCCCTGAGGATGTTGTCGGAAGGGTTTGGGGCTTCAGTCTGCGAGGACTAGAAGAGATCATGAGGTGATGCAAAGTGCTCGAAGCACATGGCACCCCAGCCCCACCACGACTTTCCGGGCTTGACTTTGCTGATGCATCCGGGCTCAAAAACTACGACGTACGCAAATCAAGCTTCCAGACTAAAATGTCAAGCTCTGCTGGCGGTCTGCTCGCACTCGAGCTGCATCACGTCATGTGAACATGTGTGGCTGTGATGAAGCAGTCACACCTGTCGAAGCGCAGTCATGTGTTGCATCCAGCTGCAGGGATGCCTCTCGGCAGTCACACCAGCCTTGCGACGCTTGCAACAAGCCAAACGGGAGATGAACTCTGGAGATGTCAGAGAACCTTCCTGCGCCATTCGAGATGGCGATCTTAGAGGCTCGTGCAGAATCGTCCAGGTGGAAAGAAGAGATGTTAGGGCTTTTTGCCCAGGTCGCCTCGTCCTCCTCCACTTCTCCCTTTTTCACGGCCTGGCGAATCACGAAATAGGCGCAAGATCCTACACTAGGGATTTCCCTCGGAGCCCGTCTGCTCGGAGAAGTGTCTTTGCAAAGACTATGTCATTGGCAGAAACACTTGAAATTGGGAATAAACTGCGCATATATGACTGCGGAATACCGCGATGGGATCGAAAAGACATTGCTTAGCCTTGAACATTTGCCCCCCGCCTTCTTGTAGAGCTTGTGCAGTGGATAGTCACCTGATCACCGGACAGCGGCTGGCAGTCATGCTACCCTGAAATACGGAGGCTGTACTGCAGGATACTGAGGATTCAGATTTGAGACAGCAGCTCAGTGACCCCAAGCAGGCAGCAAGGAAAGCTTATTATGGTACAATCAGGTGCGGTAGCATCTGCACAAGGAGTCTCAGATCAACTCACTGCCCTTCTTCAACCTTGCCAGCGCTTGTGGCCTCCTTCCAGAAACTTCTGCTGCTTCTGCGAGAAGAGCACTGCATGCGCTCGCACCTGTAAGTCAGATCACGCAGCGAAATTTTCCAAGCCCAAGATGACTGGCTTCTGGAAATCTGAGTCCCAGAGGCTCAGAGGCCCCCTCTCCCAGGGTCTGTCAGTGACTTAGTGGCTGGCCAAGCGATACATCTTTGCCCCCAGCTTGCTAGAGCAGTCGTGGGAGAACTTCGCCTGAGCATGCCCAGCCCAGTCTGCCATGCACACTTGCCCGCACTCTCAGAAGCTCAAGCTTCAAAATCAGCTCAGTTTAACGCAGATGTATGCCCTCGCTGCGCAGATCTGAGCCGCGCTGCAAGCTGGGCAGGGCTTAGACCCTGGCATGGGTCATAATGTCGTAGATGGCGGTCTTTTCCGCTTTGCCTTCTTGGCCTCGGACGCGCAACGAGGCCCCGCGTGTTGCGCAGGGAACGCTGTAACTTCGGATCACCTCGCTGTGCAACTGCAACGACGCACCGGGCACGAAGCATTTTTGCAGCGCTTTGGCCAGCCATTTCATCCGATGCTCCGGCTTCATTCCATGGACCTGCAAATGGCAGGGTCAATGGGCCCTCATGAAACCTCCTCTTTGTGCGCCTGCTTCGGATCCACTTGCAGCGCGCTGGATTCCTGCCGAGGCAGCACGGTTTGTGAGGTGCCGCAGATTTTTTGGGACTGTCGGAGAGTCAGAGTCCTCCTTCTCCTCCTTCTTGGTGGACTGCTTTTTCCTGCTCAGCCATTTGCCCCCTCCGATGCTGTCGCATGTCTCCCAAAAGGCGGTGCCGGACGGCCTGGTGACGACCTCGGCAGGGAGCCGCCGGTTCATCGGATTCGCGTCATCTGGCACGCCCATGGCTCGTGGAGCCACAAGGGCAAGCGTCCGTGATGACAAGCGTGGACCCCTGAAAACGGGTCTTAGAAGGGCTGGAACACATGGTACGCATGCCTTTGCAGCTGCAGACTTGGGCTGGGAGTGGACTTGGCTGGGTCAAGAGTGAGACAAGTCGAGGTCCAGGCTTCTGTCGTAGATCGAGCATAGGAGTTGACCGGGGCCACCGTCATTAGTTAATCGACTTCGTGCGGGAATTACAAGCATGCAGTCTCTGAGAAAGGCTGCGGAATTCTGATTGTCCAAAGAACCAGATGAGGTGCGGTTTTCATGATGTCTCAAGTCCTGGCATAGCTCATCAGGTGTGTCAGTTAGTTAGGACCCCCTTCGCCCGTTTTGGGCTATGGCATCAACCACCCCCGATGAAATATTCGTATCCCCATACCCACACCCTGCCTAGGTGCCACAGCTCAAATTCGGCTCAGGGTTTTCCCGAACCTAATGCTGCATGCAGATCCCACTGTGGAGCTTTTCCGAGAAACTTTTAGAGTTCTGCACGTTCCAAGCCGCTGAGCTGGGCTTGCAATTCGGGGCTTCGAGGGCCCAGGGACTATGAGTGTGCATGCAACGGCGTCTCAATTCGAGTGAAACTTTCCTAAAGCTAAGCTACGCTCTGAAGTCGGCATCGCTGGCTTCCGGCACTTCCGTCACCAATTGAACAAGCGCAAGAAGTATTCTTGCACTATTCCGCTTGCTGTTTCCGACTGCTTAGGCTGCAAGGCGTGCCCGGTAAGACCTCGCACCAGCGATCCGCTTCCAGAAGGAATGGGCGCTTGATCTGTACATCCCGGCGTGGTCCAATGTTCTTGAGCAGTGTCTCTCAGTGACTTGCTGCAAAGTCTTGGGCCGTGCCAGGCTGCCAAGCCCAGGGTGGAGAAGATTCGATGCTACTGTCAGAGCCAACCAAGGCATCAAAGACGATTTCAGTCCTCCAAGCGGGTCGTCCAAGGACCTTACAACGTCGTCTTTCACGATGGGTGGGTACCGATGGTGCGCAATCTTTGGTGGTCTCTCTCCTCTTTCTGTACTTCTTTCCTTCGACTCAGGGGTCGGTTACACCAGGGCACACCGGCAACTTGGGCAACTCAGCACAGAGGAAGGCTCGGTGACTTCTCTCCTCATTTCGAGCTGTAGCACTCCACATGCCTCTGTAACGATGCTCAGCCTTTACATTTCCAGGAGCAGGCCAAGGGTGTTGCACTCTGTTAACTTCACGACTCTAGAACTTCGTCACCCACGTTCACTGAGGGCCATGCCGTTAGCTTCCTCCAATCCCGGGGACCTGTACAATCTCGCTGTAAAGACACAATCACGGAACGTGGCTGTGACGCAGAGGATTGCACATCGCACAGGCACGACTCCAAACGGCTCTTTGCGGTTGCATGCGCTTGTACTGGCATCGCACACAACCCCTAACCCTAACTGGTCGGCGGCTGATGTGGTCCGACAGAAGACGATAATCGAACCACCTCTCCAATTCCAATACCCGTCACCTGCTTCAAACTTCCGCGACGGTGGAAGACCGGAACGCTTCCGCCCGCCTGGCACAGGCTCGGACAGCATTACAAGTCATAAGTGCCAGGGCACTCAAGACGCCTTCGACCGTGTAAAGCAGAACATGGCAGAACCTGCCCTTCTGTCAATGTAGTAGCACCTCCTGCACATCCTCTAAAGCCTCCCAGCTTCTTAAACCCAAGACTTTGTCGACTCGACTGCACCGGCGGACTAGAAGAGTGACGTTCGCAAACACACTTGAGTACATGCACGCATGCCACATGCCCAGGGCCTCGGTTCCAGATGGCTGGGGCATGTTCCTGGGTTTCGAGCAGCTGGTTTTGCAACTGTCGTCTGCCAAGCTGCGAAGCCCACGTCAATGATCAAGCAGGGTGTCACATTGGTCTGTCGGCACATCGCTATGATGATAGGTTGCTCCTTGTCCAGGGCCTGCCCCAGATCCGGTGACTGCTTGTTTTCAGCTCAGACATAAGAACACAAGAGGATGTATACACCCGAGAGCGCCGAGAGTACTCCCTCCAGTTTCAATCCTCTACATCTTCAAAGCATGTCATAATGAATTCAACACGCCGGGTCTCAGCGTGTCCGCATCTTTGGCGACTTCTCTGCTCAGCACGTTTCTGCCTCGGCCCCAGATTTGGCTTTCGGCCAGATTTGATGCTCCGCCTGGTGCATGAAAGCAAACCTCATGCTTCTCCCATTGGAAAACCGCTGAAGGGCTCTTTCGTTTCATACAAGCAACACCGATCCTCAGGCTGCAGCGGCCATATCCCGCACCTGCCTCTGCTGCATGGGATGCTGAAGGCTGCTCTGACTGCTCCAACTGCTCTTCTGCTTTGTTCTACCTCCTGCTGCTGCTCCTGCTTCTCCGCTGCTGCCACTGTGACTGCGATTGCCACCACAGAGAGACCGCTGCATGGCCGCATCATAAACGGAGAGGCAACTGGGGTCGACCAGCCTCCCGCTGAAGAGCCTCAGGATGTTGCTCGTCGTCCTGCTCACAAAAACGTCAGGCTATGACGAATGACTATCCTACGAAGTTCTCGAAAGGTCGCGAGAGCGAGTTGTGCTTCAACACTGTGTGTACACCTACTTGTGTACACCTACGTATGCCTCTAATCTGTCGGCCTGTGGCTGCACGTTGCGCTAAGGAAAAGAACAGTCAATCAGCGCGGTGCTGTCCTTAGCAGCCTCTCTGGCCAGCCTCGGTGGCAGCGGCACGGAGTCGGCATGATCATTGATACTGGAAACTCAAGACTTCTTCCTGCACAGTTGCAGAAATTAAGTCGAACGTTCTTGTTGGAACAGGTATCAGTAGCAGAAAACAGGAACTAAAGAAGACACGAGGTCCAAGGCCTGCGCACGTTCCTCCGGGAGTGGTCGCGCTCAACGTAGTTGACGTCATGTGGAAGGACTTGGGCATAAGCATTCAGCGGCACCTTGGAGTGACACGGTTGATGATACAAATCCTGCATTGCCCATAATAAGGCCTATACATACCATAATTCCCATAGCTTGGGGTCCTTAAAATATAATGCTAAGGATTTCTATCATCAACAAGTCTCTCTTATCGAAACTGCTTCCCTCCCGTTCCGGAGGCCTTCTGCGGGAGCCACTCCAGGACCTGCGGAGCGTCCTCGCCGTGGATTCCAACAAGAAGCGATTCCCGAAAAAGCTCTGAGTTCCTTGGCCCTAATCCCTACCTGTAACCGAAAAGACCTACCCTTTTTAGGGTTCCTTATGATGGTTTCGAAATATATTTCATCCTTAAAAAGGTAAGTCTTTCCGGCTGCAGGTAAACCCTAAACCCTAAACCGTTGGGGGTGGTGTCCTTCATCTCTCGGAGGAGCAAAGCCCGGCGAGCTGCTGTGGGCTCGCGCTCGTTGGCTTCGAAGTTGCTGACCCTGGCGAGAAAAGAAGCAGGGAGCTGCATTTGGAGCAAAGCAAAAAGGCTTTCTCCAAGGAGTTCGTTCCACCGGGGACCCGTCCAGCAGAGGAGTTTCTCGTGTCCCTTCTCAAATTCTTCCAGGATCTTCGGAAAGACCTCCTCTCCCAAGTGCTGGAATACAGCCTCGGGCCCCCCTACGATTGATGATATAAATCCTGCATTACCCATACTAAGGAATATACCATAATTCCCATAGTTTAGGGTCCTTAAGGTCATGCAGGATTTCGATCATCAACAGTAGCATTGCATGGAAGGCCAGCGTCGTAAACTGCAAACCCAACCGACATTGCAGGAGGCCACAAAACATTGTTGGATTCACACTGCAAGGGAAGTGAAGATGCAAAACAGCAAGCAATCTGTTATGTGAGCGGCTAGGACCATCACATTTTAACAGTTGTCCATAATCCGAGGTGACTCAGGCTGTGAACATGTTCGGACTCTTCCGCTCCCTCCGCTTCTATGGTCGACCTTCAATTTGGTTTTGATCAGTGCAGTGCCTTTAGTATATGTTTCCAATGATGTTATCCTCAACCTCCTTCCGCCCCTCCCGAAAATGCAATGTCTCCAATTGTTTGTACCGCTGGTCGCGCTGCTGAAACTGTGTGCTTCGATTTTCGCAGGAGTCTTGCTCGGATACAGCTTGACTCCTCCCGTTCTTGTGTTCCCATGCTCAGAAGCATGCATTTGTGAATGAATTATCGTGTCCAAAGCTCCTCACCCAATCATAACATGCCCAAAATCTTCAGTTCTCGGTGTCAACACACGAACTTGCCTGAACAAACCCAAAACAAACCCATCTGCAAAAGCATCCAGCCGATTTCCCCGACATGGATTGAGACCTACTCCTCTTCTTGACAAGGGCCCCTACGCTCTCCCAGCGCAGTCGCATGCATCCATGTCTCGGTTCTCACATGGTCAGTCACGATGCTACGGTTGATGATATAAATCCTGCTTTGCCCATAATTACTAAGGAATATACCATAATTCCCATAGTTTAGGGTCCTTAAGGTAATGCAGGATTTCGATCACCAACAGTATGTTAGAGTCAGAGCACAAGATGTCGGCACAGATCTTGAAGTGAGACGCAGAGTCCACAAGCCGTGGCGAGCGTAATGTCACGGCACCATCGCTTGCCGACCATTGACATGTGCACCCTGTGGACTGTCACGTGGGGGATGTAAACAGTCATCCGCCAAAGACTTTGCTCCCGGAGAAATGAGAAATCCACGACTTTGCTGTCCCAAGGCTTGGGAACAGCTTTCGCGGTCAAAACCGGCCGAGCGTCTCTGAAGCTCCAGCTCCGTCAGGCAACTGGAAGCGAGCTGGAAGCGAGGCACCGACGACCCCCAAGGCCAAGCGGCACCGATCCCGTCTGGCAAACCTTGAGCCGTAGCACCAGTGTCCGATGAGAGCTGGTCTTTGGTATAAACCGGAGACATGCAGCGACTGCAGGGAGTGAGAGGTGCAACAAACTGCCAGGGATTCTTGCTCCAGTGGATGCCCTTGAAGGAGCTGACCTCTTTGCCTGACAGAAGATGACAGTGCAAGGCGACTACAAAAGTTGAAGTTCCATGCAGACCGTGCGCAGCTGGCCTAGGATGTGCCCTCGTTTGAAGTCTGGTTTCTCCTGCAACGAAGACACCCATGGGCTGCAGGGAGGATCTAGGGGATCCGAACAGCCTCCCTCGGCCAAAGCAGAGGGCGTGCGGCTCAGCTGCCAAGCACAGGGTCAACAGGTCATCCCTCCCTGGCCACAGTCCTCGCAGATCCGACCCTCCGTCCTCCGGGACGCCGCACGACGGAAGCGAATGAAGCGAGTCATTGGGATTCTAAAGTGGCAGTGCTGCGTACAATCTCCCTCACGGCATCTCGCGGTTCGTCCTCCGCGGTGGCCCGATCTCGAGTGCCTGCAGACGAGAAACGAAAGCAGATGCACAAATGCAAAGCGGTCTCAGCAGAACACAATTGCGAACATCCACCAGCATGCCCCACTGCCGTGGATCCATCAAAACATCGAGGACCGGGACCCGGGGCCTGCCTGGTTCTCCACGCTCTCACGCCTTATGTAGGCTTCAAGGCTACATGCCCCCCGCACGCCGCAGGACAGACTGAGAGAGGTCTGTCTCTAACCCTGTGGGTTTTTGGCGGCTCGGAGGCTCGGTCCCTGGCTCGCGTGTGAGAGCGTTCACCCTGGCAAACGGGCTCTCCTGCCGAGTCGCGATTCCCAAAAGGAACACCACGTGGAACTCCCTTTGCTGTGCTAAGACTTCGCACTCAGTTCCAGGCTGTGCGCGGCCGACGCAACTCCGAGGGGATAACCACATGGCCTCGGAGCTCGGCTGGCTTCTCTTCGGTTCTATCCTTTACGGAGAATCTGTGGAGAGTTTTATGCTGTGGATATACTACAATCAGCGCAAAGATAGCAGCAGGAGCCTCATTCCTTTCATGTGCCAAGAGGCTTGGACGACCGTCTGTGTCTGTGCTTTACCGAGGTTTGCGTGATATCACGAGTCCCTCCAATCGCAGGAGTCTCGAAAGATGAGCGGCACCCGACTCCCGACTCGCTTCTCTCAACTCTGCTTACCCTGGGTTGAGGGTTTGGGGCCGTTTAGGGTTTAGGGTGTAGTCGTTTGGAAGATGGGTTTTGCTGCACTCGGAGTAGTTTCTCGGAGTCTGGTGCCTGCCCCAGCTCTGCAGCGGTCAGCTGATACAAGGCTGTACACTGCAACTGTTGCTTAAGCCTTCAAAGGCGATGATGATGCGAACCAAAGACAATGTCGTCGCTGTTGGACGTATGTTGAGTCTGTGTGGCTTTGCAGCTGCTCTTTGACATGGGGACATAAGTATAAGTGCATGAGTACCTGTTACAGGGAGTAAATGGGAGTAACCTTCACCTGTGCGTGCAATGCGCATTGCTTCTCGCAAGCTCCTGGCTGTCACCCACCCCGTATTTCCTGGACCAGGTGTCCCGAGCCAGCGCTCCTCCGGAGTTGCGACGAAACCGACGAAAGACACAAGAATCCGAACCTCGCCTGCCGAGTTCGGCTTGGGGTTCGGCCGAGGCCTTGCAAAAGCTTCGCCAAGGTTTCAGGGGCGCTACAGACCATCTTTGCCTGCACATCTCAGGCGCTGGGCTTCCCACGCTCTCGGCACCGGTGGAGCCTCGGGCATCGGAAGCGGCCAGGGGATGGAAACGTTGCAGGTGCAGTTGCAGAAGACTGCAACCGATCCCGCCTTGCCATGAGATGCTTCGACTGAGCGATCCCGCCTCTCAGATCGAGCCAGCCCGCCAAACATGTTGCGTCGTGTTTGTGCCAACTGCGAACCGTCCGAAACGGCACGTGCCTCGGCAGCATCGCGTGATCCTTCTGCCGGAGCATTGCCTCGCATGGTAGAGCACTTACTTGTAACTTTTGTCTTTCTTAGATGTAACTTTTCAGCTTTTCTCAACAATATCACTTAGTTAGAACTTTTGTCTTGGCTCCGAACACAGCAAATTTATCTGTGCAGAGGGTTGCAAGACAGGCATCTCAGTTGTAACTTTGTTCTCTCAGATGTAACGTTTCACTGTTCTCACTCCGGAGGGTTTTCGCCTTCGGAAATCACTCCTTGGTGTGTTCCTCACTGCTTAGGGTTTTCGTCTTCGGGAAAGGTTCCTGCTGGAGTCACTCCTTTGGGTTTTCGGCTTGGGAATTCACTCATTAGGGCTTTGGTCTTGGGTATTTTAAGGTCTTCGCCTTGGGTATTCACTCCTTAGGGTTTTCGTCCTGGGTATTCACTCCTTAGGGTTGTCTTGGGTATTTGTATTCACTCTTTATTTACGGTTTTCGTCTTGGGCCACGCGCGCGCGGCGGGTTGGTTGGGGCTACGGCTGAGTGCGGTAGGTGGGGTAGTGGGGGTAGGTGGGGTAGGCGGGGCAGGTGGAGTGGGGTACGTGGGGTACGTGGGGTCAGGAAGAAAAAGGAGAAGTTACATCTAACAGGAAACATGTAACATCTATGAAAAGAAATACAACTAAGTATGGGAGGTCGACTGCACTTGGGCCGGGCAGGGAGCTTCCCTGGCTTGCGGAATGCCACCTTCGACAACCTGAACCCACCAAAAGAACTGAAATTGACGAAGAAATTCCGGAGCAGGCTTTCCTGATCAGGCCTTTGGCTCATGTGGCTGTCACTGGACACAAGTCATCCCCGGTACACGAAATCAAAGTCACCGTCGGATGAAGAAGCCTGCCAAAGAAAAAGCTGGCGGCCTTGCCAAAGGACATTTTGTGCAGAATACGGAGCGCACATGCACTCAGCGAATTAGCGCAGCTAGACTCAGAGCCACGCGACCACAATCCGCGCACCCGTGCGCAAACACTTGCACCAGCATGCCGTCCCGTCTCGGTATGGGATTGAAAAAGCTCCGAAAAGCGATGCGACATGTTTGACTCTTTTAAACTACGCAAGCCATCGAAAGCCCATCGACCGCGTTGTCGTCGGCCTTGCCGGGCTCAGTTCCACAAAACTGAACCTATGTCACTGTGCTTGAAATTTCGCTGTGTAGCTTGCGCTTCATGCCCAGCGTAGGACAGGCTTTGCAACGTGGCCTTCATTTCTGTCTGGAACTTACGCAAGTGAAGCTTTTGAATAGACATGCATGAAGCACAAAGGCTAACTGCAGCTTCTTGTGAAGCGCGAATGCTGGGCGGGTGCCAGCAGTGTGGTGCTGTGCGAGATTCTCGTAAGTGCTGACGACTCTGCTGTATCTCGCACGGCACAATTTCGGAACTATTTACAAGCCTGCCGTCCCGGAAGATGCTGAATGCTTCCATGGAGTATCCTTCCCTCGTGTCAGAACACCCGTTAGCTGTGTCTCGCTTGCGGTACACATGCACAAGCTGAGTCTGGCTGGCGGCACGAGACATCCAGCAGGGACAGCAAGGACACAACAAACTTACAATTGGATGAAGCATGTTACCTCCACCAATTGGTCTCGACCGGTGGCTCCGAACACGTGAAAAATTGCGTCATCAGCATCAGGCAGCTCGACGATGCCTCAGCGACTGCGGCTTGAAAAGGCACCCGAAGACAGGTAGGCATTCACACAAGTGGTGATGCGGATACACCACCAGCAAGAGACACAGAACCCTTGCAACAGCTCGTTGCAGGCGGCGGCGGTGCAGCTAAGCTGCACTTGCTCTCGGTAAAATTGGAACTTGCGATGCGCATCTCCTCCGGACATGAAGGCGAAGCATAACCCGCAAACAATTCGTCAAATTGCGATCCTGCTCAATTTGCGCTGCAGCCAGCTCTTTTACACGCAGCCGGATTGGTCACTTGAGCTCCTCGCACTTGTCGCTTCTATGACTCCTATAGAGACCTGGAAAGTCCACCACAAGTCCTTCGATTCGCATAAAAACTCTAACACTGCTCCCTGGGCTGTCCCGAACCAATGTCGAACGTGAACTTCCCTTCTCATGTCTTGAAACCACGCCGGTTTTCCCATTGGCCGTGCAAGCCGCGCTTGCACCTTCCTCGGCATAGCTCGGAGCAACTGCGATCTTAGAGCCAGTGGACTGAGTTTGGTGTAGAGTAGACACACAGCAGGCACGTATGCCTACACAGCGTGCCCCTTGATCGGTGCAACTGCGCAAGCATGGCTGATCCCAGCCGTTGCACGACGACGGACATCCGAGACAAGCTCTTGACATGGCTGGGACGACGGCTGTGACCGGGGTGACTGCTACAACAGGCTTCTCCAAACTCAAACCATGCTTGCCTACTGGGCAATGTCTCAGATGCCTCTTGCCACATCACAGCCCAGGCTTCGAACCTGGTGCTGTAAGAAACTTTTAGAGGTTACAGCAGCGTCCAAACACTACTATACGCCTCCACCCAAATGTGTGCTAGCGACGGAGTAGCAAGTCTCGACTGAGCTTCATTGTGGGAGGGAGTCCGCTGCTAACGCTGTACCATCATCTTTTGTAGCCGCGCAGGCCGGCCAGAAGCCTCTCAGACGAGGATCATCTCGATCTGGTCTTTCAGGTCCTGTCATCTTTTTAAAGCAGCGCGCAAGCGAAGCGCAGCGATGAGAGGGGGTCACACACCGGGCCTGTATCTGCGTGTTCAGCTGAGAACCTTCCTTGGAGGTGATCGAACAGGAGATCACCGGCCTGCCGGCAGGGCCCTCAGAGAAGGATCGCGCAAGACCCACAAGCCTGCCCTTCTTTTCTTTTTTTGTTTAAGGTCTATCCTTGATCCTTTACAGAGCGTGGCCAGTTGATTTGGTAAAGGTAAGGAAGCTGCAAAGCAAAGTGAGGCCCCTCGCCTGGAGACTCCGCAGGCTCGGCCCAAAGCCGTCTTGGACTTCACGAAAACATAGGGTACGTTCTTGTCTTCACAGACCAGGGGCCTGCAGCTGCAGCTACCCTAGCAGCCTAGCACATTCCGAACATCCATGGCCCGCAGTATCCAATCCGCCACCCCAAGCCAAGATTCCCAGTCAAGCTCATTCCCGTCAAGTGGCAAGTGCAGAAGGATCTCTAGTGGCTCGGCATCCGCGGCAAGGATCACAAGTTCGGCGGTGCCACGGTTCAGAGTCTTCGTGGCCTGGAGGGTGAGTGAGCGACTGAGGACGTAAGGAGGACTGCATCTCGTTGACCATGCGCTTCTAGAAGAGTGCACACGCAGAGCTGTGGTTTCGTCGGAACTTCATGGGACCGTCCCTCGTTTGATCTTGGCTGAATGGCGGGGGACGTTACTTGATAACACCGACAGCTCAGACCAAGGAATCTGGCCTCGTTGGCACCCTTCTTTAGCTGCTTGTAGTTCGCTGCCTGCTGCACCAAATCCAGGATAGTGACGGTCAACGTCTCCTCAAGCAACAAGACCATTCTTCGAGACTTGGGACTGGCGTTCCTGCTCTGACGCAAATGTTAAAAGCAGTTGCATGGCCCGAAACAGATTTGTGCGGCGTGAGGAAACCAAGCAAGCAGAAGCCAAACTTCAAGTCAATTTGCAAGCATGACCAAAACAGCTGACATGTACCACGCTGATCCCGGCCTTGGCCAAGGGATAGGCCTGCAGTGACGCAAGTGGTTCTGACGGCAACAGAGGCCCTCTTCGAAAGGACGCCAAAAGAGCGAGTCCAAATCTAGCTCTTGTCTGAAATGCCTAGACTTTTAATGGAATGCTGCAAGCTTCCCGAGCTCAGGAGTCTGAGAACTCTCCTTGGAACCGTCGTGGCCCTGGCGCTGGCCTTCGGATTGACTTCCTCTTCCTCAGCCATCGCTCTCAACCCGAAATCCCAGGAAGTGGTCGAAGCTTGAGCCCGACTCGATAGCGGAGAGCGCTTCACTGGTGATGAAAGCAACAGAAGAACTTCTCCTGTCCTTGGCTCTCGCATGGCAGACTGGGAACATCACTCGGGCCATTGTGCCCAAAACCTTCGTCCAGCTGAAGCTTAATCCCAAAGCCTCCCAACCGAACCTCTCAAAATCGATTGCACGGCAAAGACAATTCCCAAGTTGGCAACGTGCGCCTCGTTTGAAACTGAGAACCCAAACCGGCATGGCAAACAGCCCTGGCGCGAGAAGGCGGCTTCTGCTGCACCGAAGGCGAAGGGTTTTGGGGGGCTTCTTCAGTTGAGTGCACCAATGGTCGGGTCTCAGAAAATATTCCGAGAAGTTCGTGGTAGCCTGGCGCTTTCGCAGTGTTGTGCCTGCTGCAAGCATCTGACTCTTTCTAGACCTTGTTGCGTGGCAGTTATGCTTGGTGGAATCGGTGACAGAAGTTGTAGCCGTGCTGCAGCTTCCAGCTGCACGGACGCTGATACACTGCAATGCATCGACAACTTACGTTCTCTACGAACTGTCTCACAAACCGTGGTACCACAAGTTTAAAGTTTAAACTATCCATACAATCGGGATCCAGCATGCCAACGCGGCTTGGACGTCGAACAGCCCGAAACCCTCTCTTTTGTGGCGGTTGCGTTGCAGAGTCGGCAGACCGACATTTTCGTCAGGAACACCGAAGGCCCAGCCGTCGTGCTATATCCCCTTGTCAGGCTGGTCATGGGACGATATGGATGCCAGGGATGTAAAATCTGAAAGGCTTGAGATGGCTTGGGCTTGCACGATACTGGGAAGACGTCAGGCTGCCAAGGTCCTCACCGAGACATAACAGCAGAAAGAAGAGAATACGCTCTGAAAGTCTACTGCCCGTGGCATTCGAGGCGAAGCTTTGACTAATTGTATTCACCACACCCTGACGCCTGGGGTGCGGGTGAGACTGTGACTTTGTAATGAAAGTACATGTATGCATGCTGCTCGAAGCTTGATTCCCTGCCATGAATGAACATCCCTACCCACAACTAAATGCGGGTGTCCTGAGCTTAAAACTCTGCATAATGAGCTTCAAAACCCTGTGACCTCGCACGGTCGGAAAGGTAGGCTGCGATTTAATACGTGCGTGAGTGCAGAAACTGACTAGTACTGACTAGGAGTCAATATCTTGCTTCAAGTTCGCAGACACTTCTCAGATCCGCAGAAGCAAGGCTGGGATGTCACCACTCGTCCTCGAGAACTTGCCCAGGTAACATCAAGTATGGCCATGGACTGGAAACGCGCTGTGCGGCGTTGAAGGTTTGTGAAGGTCTTATTCCAATACCAATTTTTGTTCATGCTCAGGCTGCAGTCTTAGATTCAATGTAGAACGGACCGAAAAGGGTTCTCGCAGCTTGAGCGGCCGTGGTCCTCATCTTCGATCGACAACGCCTGCGTCGACAGAGCCTCAGCCGCGCACACCCAAGCCGATACCTCTGTCTGAACCAACTAGCTGCTCGTCGAGTACGTATCTACCTATTCGGGGGAGCAGAAGTCGTCGGTGTGCCTGGAAGTACAAGCATGGTTTGGGTGGAGCGGGCCAACGGACGGGCGGCTCAAAGCAAAGCCCTCAAGCCATAGAAATCCAAGCATCCTAAATGCCATGAACGCCACTCCGGTCCCAGCGGCGGGGGCGTGGCCGTCGCGAAGGCGCCGTGCGCGACGCGACGGCGACAGAGTCACTGGGCCGCCGTGCCTGTAAAGGTGCCTCAGCTTTGCAGAGTCTTGGGAGGATTTAGGGTCGTGCACCCTTTACCGATGTTGCTTCCAAAGTCAAAAATTTGCCTGTTGTAGAGGCTGACTGCAGCGACACCAAAAGCACTTGCTTTTGCAAACTACCTTTCAGCATGCGAGGGCGCAGTCGAGAGGTGACCTTAGCCTAAGGCAGTTGTCCAAGTGGCTGTTCCGTGCACACGCAGCGCCCTGGCTGCATGCGCCGCGGAAATGTGCGAAGCGGCAGGCGCCGGTCGGCCAGGCGTAGCCTCGAGAATCCGACAAGATCTCCCTTCCCTTCCTATAGCTTCTGGACCGCAGCTGCCTCCCTGATCCCCTCTCAGACATCTCCCTGCCCTTGACGCCACACGCATGGCTGCCTGAGGTCTTTGGCGCACAGGTGCGTCCTGTCAGGGAGGCATCAGACGCTGGAACCCTTTAACAGAGAATCGGCACATCCAACTGCGGCTTTGAAGCCTCCTCCGCTGTGGCAGCGCGGCCAGTCGGATTTGCTGAAGAAACCTGCAACATGCACTGAGGTCCTTCTGAACTAGGCTTTCAATCATGTCAAGGGCTTTTCGTGCGTGCGGGGCATGATGGCACCCTGTGTCCTGTGAATGCTTTTCCAGGCAATGGAATTCCCGCTTACACATATACTGCTTCTCACTGTCACTGTTGTAGCAAGCTCCACTCATCTATTCTCCATCTGCTTATCTGCCTATATATTTGCAAGGTGCAGGCCTCGAAGGAGCCGCTGCGAGGCACGCCTGGGTGAAGAGGACCCACGGCACCTGCAGGGCTTGATTGGGGTCTGGGGTTTCGGTTTTCGGGCGGATGTCTTCTCAGCCCGCACATCATCTGAATGCCGGCAATCCGCACTCTGTTGAGTTGATGCTCTTCCCTATACTGCCTTCTCCACTTGTACTGCCGTTTCTTGCATAATCCGGAAGCACAGCTGCTTCGGCAATGCTTTGTTTATTGTCGATGCAAGACTAAAACAGGAAACAGCTGAAGGCAAAAAGGAAGTAAAACATATTGACCGGCATAGAAATACGCAGAGGATTTTTTGCGCGAGCGCGCGCGCGCGGGTGTGTGTGTGTGTGTGTCTCTGTGTGTATCTGTCTGTGTGTCTGTCTGTGTGTCTGTCTGTGTGTCTGTCTGTGTGTCTGTCTGTGTGTCTGTCTGTGTGTCTGTCTGTGTGTGTGTCTGTGTGTCTGTCTGTGTGTCTGTCTCTGTGTGTGTGTGTGTGT